TCTTAAAAGATACTGTCGCGGACGGTTTTTAAGATCATTAAAAGAGCTATTATTCTTTAATACATATTTTTTGTGTATCTTGAACCGTTTTTTTCACGGCGCACGCAACGGAAGGCTTCAAAGATGAAATAATTTCTCACGTTTTTTTTTACACATTTTACCACTATATCTTCGCTCCTATTGGTCGTAGCGTGATGTTTTATAGCCCACAGCCTTCCTCGATAACTGGACTATCCAACACAAAAATAATTATTCAACTCGAACCAGTAGTTTCGGAGATGAGCGCTTTCAAACAAACAAACAAACAAACTCTTCAGCTTTATAATATTAGTATAGATAAGTATATTGCTTCTAACGCGTTTTTGGGTTTTAGGAAGTACCTTCCATAAAAAAAATAGTATTGGGTATACTTTTATTTACTTATTTTTATATAGAAATTATCTATGAAAATTTAATGCATTAATTAAAAAAAAAACTACAGTAAGACATGAGTAATGTTTTTATATCCTGTAGTTCGATTAAGTTACTACTAAACACCAATTCAAGAGTTATGTGTGGGTTTTATTTAGTCCATATTATATGAAATATTGATAGAATATTTAGTTTAGTCTTAGATATTTCTAGCCATTTTTACCAATATTATCAATTGCGAAGTATAACAGTCTTTTTGAACTCACTAAGTATTTTTGTCTTCGTCTTTTGTACTTACTAAGTTTTGCTTTAAGTATTCATGAATTATATAGTAGACATTTAGAAACTTCGATATTAAATCTTCTAAAACGATTAGAAATATTACATCTTTATAAGCTTTATGATCCGCAATTTTAAACAGTACCCAACCAAAATTAGTTTTAATGTACCTTATTGCGTGTAATAAAAATTACAATGGCTTTTTATTTAAATGGAATTAGTATGTGAGAAGTATTACATGAAGTGACGAAAAAGGCAATGCCAATATGGCTTCTAAGGAATGAATATTACATGCCGATACTATCAACTTATAGAATAGGGTTGCCACTACGATAACATTACATAACATATGATTCCATATTATTCATATGTATTCATATTTTTTAAATAAAATTTAAGTTTTACACATTAATTTAGATATATTTAAAATGTAAATAATATTCTATATAACATAAAGGTTGTAAATTATTTGTTACGTAATATATATAGTGGCAACCCTAATGGAAAGCACGTCTCGCCAGTTTACTTCCTTACAGAGACAGGAAGCAGAGGACGAAAGCTCAAGTGACAATGACTATCAAATGATGAATACAGCAATGTTATAGAAAGAACAGTTTGGAACGAGCCGGAATGTATATCCGGGAGCGCGGAAACTATTAAAGTAATATATATTCCATAGAAGATAATATATACAGATACAGATAATAAATATATAATGAGATCTAAGATTTTCGCAAGTTTTATTCATTTAAATGAAAACTAATGTGTTTTTTTTCGGATACTACGCGATTTTAATTTTGTATAAAACTATAAACTCTCGTATTTAGACACCACTGACATAGGTGAAGGAAAACATCGTGAGGAAAACCTGGACTTATAGTTTCACAATTATAAGATTGAAATCAACCAACCCGTCTTGAGCAAGTGTGGTGATTAATGCTCAAACCTTCTTCATGTGAGAAAGAGGCCTTTTGCTCAGCAGTGGGCTCTGATAGGCTGATGACGATATACTCTCGACGTTTCGGCTACTTTTCAGCAACCATGATCACGGACTGAGACGAGAGTTGAAGTCGCGTAGTATAATCCAAAAAAATGTTAGTTTCATTTAAATAATAAATATTTTTTCTGGCAGAATAATATTTTCCATTGCCTACATAAGTTTTAGTATAAAATTATTAGGAGTAGTAAAAAAAATGCTTTTAAAACAGTTAAATAGAAAGCATGTGCTTAAAGTATATGATTATTGTTTTACGTCTAACCAAGATTTAGTAGCGTTGTATCAGATAACTGTCGGCAACCAATCTTCTGTCGCTTCCTCGTAAATATATTTAAGTGTCGAATTTTTAGTGCGTATTACATAATTTTATGTGAATTTTACACGTTTTCTTCACAGAGTGTCCCTAGGACGAGGAAGTCGACACGTGCGTCTTGTTGCTTATAATTTATTATAGGAATTTTATGGGCGCTTTTTTTCACGAAAATGAAGGAAGTTTATGGTATCTTTACATACACACAAATCGTTTGAACATGCTCGTAATATTATAGACGATATTAAGTATATCAGCGCAAAATATACTCTATTAACTTACACCGAAGATAGAATTTCGTATGACATATCTTCAAATACATATTTTGTTACTTAAAAATATTATAACACATACCTGCTTAAAGAGACATAGATCGGTAGTGTGGCCATCTCAATATCTGTAAGTATAGGAAATTATTGAACATTTACTTATACGAATAAAGAAAATTGTCAACTAAATTAGGAACAATTGCCGGACATAAAAAAAAAATGTGTTTCGGATTACGATGTCACAAAAAAAAATGTGCATTCAATTTGAAAGTTCTGACCGGATGTTTTGTCCGAGCCATAAAACAATGGAGCGATTTGATAAGCTTTATCTATTGTTTTGAATTTAACAAAAATACTGTTTCTATAGATAGATATTTAGACAGAACAAACGTATCGGAATTAATAATAATAATTTTTATCGTATTATTAATTTAAAAATATAAAATATGTTACTTATTTATATTATAAGGATATTAAAAAGATTTTGAAATTTATATTTACGTATTAAATTTACGATAAAAAAATGCGTTGTTAATAAACTAAGCATAGTTTTTTATAAAACAAAGAACAGATGCGCCATTAAAAACTAGGACCGTACAAATATTAGTTCCATTAAAGTTAGAACAAGATGCATTGAGGGGAGTAGAATCAATAGGGGTTGAAAATTGAAATCAATTCCTCTATTGGAACTGGTCTAACTTTGTTTACTATACGCTCCAAGCTTTTCATATCATCTCCACATAATTTTTCACATATCAGATTTAGAACTAAAGATTTTTTTTTATTAAACTTTGTTTTCGTCATAAAATATTTCAAACAATATTTGAGAGTTAAAATATTTACTAATAGTGAAAGTCTAACAAAGCATTATTAATAAAAATGTTAATTATATATGTATCTAGTTCAATTGCATTAAAATATACATATATGTTTTAAAACTATAGCATTAGTATTTCGTCCCCCAAAACACATAAATTAAACGGGCGCGTCTCTTTACAGTATTTCCCACGAACTTAATATGAAAGTAACTGCTTACATATTATATGATTCATCAATTTACTTACCAAAAAGTTTACGAATAAACACGAAACTTTTTAAATAAACTTTTTTTATTCACACGAAATATTTAAAATGACTACTAAATGACAGCTGATCAAATTTGTAACAAGTCACGCTATAAATGATAAGGTTGTCAACATAAAGCCAATGTTGAAATTAATATAAAAGCTTTACCGTAATTTATTTTCTCACAGATTAGACGCGGAACACTATTTCGTTTGTGAATTTATCATAGCACATTTTGACTACGCAGATTTTGTTTATTTATCGATAACGGTGATAAACCGAACGATGCACAGTTTTTATCCATAGAGGGCATTGACGTGTCACTAAAAAACGTCCTTCCCGCGTTTTGTAACCTCAAACTAAATCTATGTAGAAATGGCGGCTGCGACGGCTACGCATTTTATTTTTACTGGAACGTTGCGGGGGGTGGTTTTACAATATTTAGGGTACAAGTGAATTATCCGATCCGCGCATGCGTGGTGGCCGCGACGCTAATAAACGTTTGAAATAGCAAATTCGCGTGGGGCGGCACTAAACTTTGCCATTATGCAATAAATACACCGCCAACAATTTCGATTTTGAATTATACAAATAGAAAATAACACTTAATTAACTTTTATTTACAATACTATTGGACACTGAATTTTTTTTTTTATAATACACATTGTGTTTTTTAAACGTCTTAATTTCTAACAAAGAGCTACATTAACCTAAGTTCGCTTAACCCTCGTATGGTTTTTGTGTAAGACGTCGTCAGTGGTCACGGGAACCGCGCTCCGTCGAGCATGTCCCAGCCATGGTGTATGGTTGGCATGGCCTATGAATATTTATATGGTAGATATGATGTGTTAAGTAATGCATTCTTATGCTATCGAAGATGTTGCGTTACTGAGAAACACGTATTGTTTGTCTGCAATCCCTCCAATATACTTTCAGTAGGTCACAGATAAAAAAAGAATAAAGGGTTTAAGAGATACATCCAGGTATTAACAAAAATAGAAATGTTGTCTATTTCTGTCAATATCGAGATGAAACCAATAAGGATAAGTTTTAAACGATGGTAAAAATATTATCTGTTATAACAGTAATATACAATGAATAATAAACAAATAAAAACTAATATATCTGAGCACGTGTCCATAAACAATCAGCATTGAACCATAAATGGCAGGAATATAAATGGTGATAGAAATGCGATGAACTAATGTATTATGCATTAATGTAACAACTTGAAAATCATAGTTTTATAACAAGAAATGGCAGATTTTACAGCAGATTATCTTTTTTATGTATAAATTACTACAGGTCGAGGCACGCGTGCCTAGTATCAAGTGGCTAATGCAATCGGCAAACCATGAAGAACTTTGACCTTTCGCACAAAGAATACAATAAAAGCTCTAAGATGGAGTAATAAAGTTTAATAATGTGTTTGAGTAGAGTAAATTATTATAAAAATTACAAAAAGAAATCTTCCTGACATTTTTCTGGCACATCAAAAGTGCATTCCTTTTTCAGTACATAAGCAATTTTCTTTTTGGTGGATCTGAAAGGACGAAAAAGTTTTAATATGATTCATTATTAATTATATTAAATATAGCAAAATATTATTGTTATTAAACCTTCGGTTAAATCGTCATTGTAATAGAGCAGGAGATCTGGTATATGTATATTATCTGGCAAGGCGACTTTTTTCAAATCGATCTCTCTCATCCGGGATACCGTTCTGATGTAGGGTCCAATCATAGCACAAGGGTCTTCCCAAATACCGCCACGTGTAGGACAGCATATGTGAATTGTGGGGCAGGTACCGCATCATGATCTGATAGATTGTCTCCTCGGAACATACTTCGAGAGTTACTGACGAAACCTGAGGTGAAACAAAACAGTCACTGCTTTGTAGTTATATAAAATCGTAGTCATTGTTTTCATAGCGTACAAATTTTTACAAATACCTAATCAAATAAGTTTAAAATATTTAATAAACAGAGGCTGCGAATGAATACAGGTACCTACGGGTAGTATTTAACCGGATTAAATTTTTGTAAATAAAGTATATTAAAAATTTTATACACTTTTCTACCGCACTTTGTCAGATTTTGAAATTGATTTTTTGCCACCTAGCTGAGCTTTATGTGAAACATTAAAATGTAGGTGATAAATTAAGGTTACCTTTTATATTAATTGTTTTATAATACTTTAAATTGATACCATTTATACATAACAAGATCTGATCTCTGTTTAGACTTTGATTCTATTTAATTGCGTTAAGTTCTTACCAGTCAATGTATTCGTGATTCTAATGGGTCTGGTCTTCGCTGTGACTTTCCCTACTATATTGGAGCTATCTAACCACCAAGGTCTTGTCAGTGGTCGCCAGCGAGTTGAAGGTACCACCGGCTGTTTGGTTTCCTGGTCCATGCTGTTGGTACACTGTAGTGGTGCCAGTTATTGGATGGGTATAACGTACCCATTCCTCTCCCTTGAACCAATGGCTGATGTCCTTGCCAGCATAGGCCAGTATTGTTATGGCTAACTATAGGAATGTTAATTTTTCATATAAGGATATAATTTTTTGATCTTTATATAAAGTTTTGATATATTATAAAACAAACAGAAGTGGAAATCAATAATTGTTTTTTCATAACTGTTGGATTAGAAGCTAAGATAGAAGATCATTAAGTAATTTTTTTAAAATGTTTTTTCAGACTAAAGAATTCTCTACATATTGAATACATTGTATCTCCAAAAATTCTATACTTACTCTCTTGCGATCACAAAACTCGTAGCCGAACTTAAAGCAATTGCAATACTCCACACACTCGGGGCCACAATACCAGTTTCTTGACCGGACATGTGCAGTTCTTAATACATTTACATAGCTTAAACTGATCTTGCAGCCATGAAGTAAGGTCTCTAACTATTCCGTTTAAAGAAATCCAACAATCTGACGCCTTATTATGAACCGCTACCTCGGCTGGAGTGTACCATTCGGGTTTTGTATAAATCATATTAATAAATCACGTCAAAATAATTATGTTTAGATACTGCTTTTTCTACAAAATTTGTGTCTTTACCGAAACATTGTCAATTTTGATGGGATAGCAAAAAGTTTTTTAGTGATATTCATTAACATTATTAAAAAGAATGTCACTTTGACCACATCGTATGGATCTACTGTCTCAGTTACATATTTAATAGAATTAATGTGATTTTAACCATATTTTGTATTTTGCAATATACTTATATAAGTATTTAATATTTTGCATGGAATCTTGCAACCCAATTTGAAAGTAGATATCTTTAATAGACCGAGGTGAAGTTATGTCATTCTAAAAAACAAATATGGCAGATTAACTATAACTGCCTTCCTGCGGTATGAATATCAAATAAAACTCCTTGCTTAGAATAAGAGAGAACCGTCACTCTAAATGAGACAGGCTGTACGAAACATAAAAGAAGGAAAAACTAATTATTACTGATTCAATAATTTAATTAATGAGAAGTCGAGTTTTTTTATTTCTGTGGGTTCAGCATATTTATTTCTGTGGGCCGGAAGGGATTCCATATTTATGCTGACATAATGTGTAATGTTTATTTCAATAATGTGCAACTGCAGTGTCTCATTATTATACCAGAAAACAAAAATATTTCATTTGTTGTATCCTATAAGTATTATATTATAAGTTTATAAATTTGTGACGATTTTATTACTTTTCACACTCAAAAATTACTTAACTGATTTTTTGATTAAATTTTACGAGCACGTACCTAAGACTAAATATAGGCACTTTGATTGTGTGAGACATCATCATCAGCCTATCAAAGCCCACTACTGAGCAAAGGCGTCTCTCTCTCCCATAGAGAAGATTTGAGCATTAATCACAACGCTTGCTCAAGACGGGTTGGTGATTTCAAACTTATAAGTTGAAATTATAAAGTCCAGGTCTCATCGCGATGTTTTTATTTATTTTATTTTTATTTATTTATTTTTGGAAATACCATCGGCATATTCACAAACCATATGGAAAAAAATATAAAAAAATAAAACTTGTACAGCGTGATACACCATTACAAGTATATACATTTTACTACTTACATGTTAACAAAGGAACTAAACACAACACTCAAACATTTAGTAAAATCTGTAAGAATAAATTAAACAAAGTGAAGAAAAGCGGTTTCTGAATACTCTTAGAGAGTATGTACATATGACTCGTAAAAATCCCATTGATACTTCATACTTGCCAGGTTTTGAAACCTCGTCCTCATGCACGAGGATCGGCCCTTAACCTCTAGGTCACCACGAATTTGTGACATAGATTGTATGACACAGACTCTATTCCCGACTATCGGTCACCATATCTATTTTTCTAATACACTGTGTACATTTCTCTAGTCGGAGGCAAAAATTAGTGGCAATTAATAATGGCATCTGTTAAGCGTTTCCCATATAACATTGACATTATATTCACAATGGTGTATAAAAACAACAACAAAAAATTAATAAAAAAAAAAACTGAGAATTTAAACAATAGTTTTATTAAGACGTAATTGAGACGACAATACACCCCGTTAGTTATCAAAGATCATATCTAAGGAGACTTTATAAAGCTTTGTTTATTAAAATATTCTATGTTCATATTCTATACTTCAATATAATACATGAGACTTACCAATCGAAAAAAAAAACAATCATTTTATTATGAATTTGTGCAAGCTCTTTTTAACTTCAACTTAAGACTGTTTTGAAAAGCTAAATATGGTTTTTAATTTACATAATTTGAAGCAATAAGTTATACATATTTAAATTAATAAATAATAAAATTTACTTTTACCACGAGACCAGAAAACTTTCCTTAATAGAGTCATACAGATTAAGATACAGAAATTTCTAAAATAAACAGCCGTATTCAAAGCATGATAAAAAACGGAAAATTACATAATCTGTATTTCTATAAAAGTAGAGAACTGTAGTTTTAATCTACACATTTTATTAGCTTTTTCATTTCATATGACTAAAGAATTCGATTGTCAATGTTCTGAGATTAGTGTCCGAAATGTCAATGTCAAAACTGTCAAAGTTACATTTACTGTCAAACTGTCAAAGTGATATTTATTGTCACGAGGGTGTGTGCGGCGCCTGTGACAAATGTTTCACAATATCCACCCAATCCCAACCTCGAGGTTTTCTCTCCGGCGCGACCTATCTCAGCTCTGTCCCACGCGCGTCGCTTCTGGGCTTTACTCAGCTGTTCTTTCTTTCTGGCTTCTTTGATTCAGTCTGAAGTTATATAAAAATAGAGTTATAAATATTATTGAACATTGATAAATTATTATCTGTATTATACTGTTCAATAACTTATGTTCATTTAGAGTTTAGACTATAACAATTAATAAATACAATTTGACAATTCTGTTCGTTTTCTACAATTATTTTTTTTCGATATCAGTTATCTTAAATATAAAGACATTCTTTAAATACAAATTCCTCTTTAGGTTAATAACCTTTAAGCCATGAAGAATTAAAAAAAAATACACCAATATAGAAAATTCTGTTTTGTAAAAAACAAATATAATTTAAATTCAATTATGTTAACATTACTTTTTACAATGGTTAAAATGAGTATATCTGTATATAACAATTTACTGTCTGTAAACAGCCAATCACTCATACAGCCAACAAAAACAAATATATTTTCAGTCTCACACAATAATTACATCTACCTACAAATGACAATACACATTGTTTTTTGTAAATCAAATTCAATACCTGATCAGCAATAGTAATCTTCTCAAACTCTTGCTACAACTGCTTCTTCTGTTTGTGCTTCTAGAATTTCTTTAACTTTCTCTTTCAATCCTTCAAATATAGTATAGGTCATCGCACATCCAACCCACTGGTCGGCCTCTGCATTAACTATTGAAAGTATATTTTCCTTAACTGATGGTAACCTGTAATTTATAGACTAAGTTTAAGCATAGCTTACATATAAAAAAAATTATAAGCTATTTATTATAAAAAAAATTATAAGCTATAATTATATTTATCTATACTAATATTATAAAGCTGAAGAGTTTGTTTGTTTGTTTGTTTGTTTGAAAGCGCTAATCTCCGAAACTACTGGTTCGAATTAAATAATTCTTTTTGTGCTGGATAGTCCAGTTATCGAGGAAGGCTTTGGGCTATATAACATCACACTACGACCAATAGGAGCAAAGATATAGTGGTAAATGTGTAAAAAAAACGGGAGAAATTATTTCATCTTTGAAGCCTTCCGTTGCGTGCGCGCCGCGAAAAACGGTTCAAGATACACAAAAAATATGTATTAAAGAATAATAGCTCTTTTAATAATCTAAAAAACAGTCCGCGACAGTATATGTCTATCTTTTAAGAAAAAAAAAAAAAAACAAAAAAAAAAAATATAAAAAAAAAAAAAAAAAAAAAATAGAAAAAAAAAAAAGATTAACTCACAAAAACCGTTTTTTTATGGTACCTAATTTGGTCGAAATAATTTGTTTAAGTTATATCAACATAGTAATATTAATCTTTATTCAAATAAACAAATAAATATGTTGTTGGTTAAGAGTACTTCATTGTGAATAAAAAAAATAGGTTTTATCCTGAAAATTCTACGGGAACTCGACCATTACGAAAAACCCCGCAAGAACGGGAACTATGTAGGAAGAACCAAAAATCTGCCGGAAGTCACTATTCCCCGCGGACGAAGGCGCGGCAAAAGCTAGTTTTTAATACTCACAGACTTTGATTGTAGAAAATATCTAAATTAAAAACTAGGTTTCTCTGTAGGATATGTGGGTCCCCATATTATTTCTAATATAAATGTTTTTTCACCATCTATGTACTGTAACAAAAGACAAAAAATATAGTTAAAAAATAATATTGATTATATATCAATATCTAAGACATTTTATAATATTTGTTGAAATAAAACAAACATTTTTGTATATACAGGGTGACTGGTGAATTACTATCAATATTTAAGGAGCATACTCGGTACATGATTCTCATTCGAATTATGTAAAAAAAATTAGGTACTTAATTTTTGACCAAATTTCCGTATAAATAAATAAAGTGGGTACACGTTCCAAGTGTGGACGCGTGCGGCGGCGTGCTGATACAACACTACGCCGCCGCCGCGTCTGTGTGAGTGTGTGTGTATACCTAATCTGTAGGGTGTTCATACGATGCGTAATTAATTACATAACTTTTGGTTATCTTTACTTAGAAGTTTATTTATATTTATGTTATATTAATTTTTATTTTGTCATAAATGATCGTCAAATATCACGTCCTCAAATATCGATAGTAATTCACCAGTCACCCTGTATACTTGTTTTTTATTATTTTAAACTCCATAATTATGGTTACTGCTAAGTAACTGAAACATCATTAGTTTAAAATAATAAAAAAATGCTTAGAAAATCTGAAAGTATTAGTTTTATTTAAATATTAATTATAATCATATAAATTCAATTGTAATATAATGATTACCTTATATTGGTATGTTTTTGAATCAACTTGCTTGAAATTTTCATCACCTTCATAAATTGATTTCAGAACTTCAATCTCCTCCGCCTGTTGCTCTGCATCATCAGACATTGTTAACTTCTGTAATAACCTGAAATATTTGAGTTGAAAAACAGAAATAATAATAATCTTTATTTCTCTTATAAAAATTATGAGTATAACTATTAATAGAACTGAATTAATAACATTAGATAGTACGATTATATAAAAATGAATCTGTCCATTAAGAAGATTGAGAAAATGAGACACATTTAAGAGATGAAACTGGAAAGTATATCAGGTTTAAACTAATCATTTATGTTCTCTTTAAGAATAGCATAGTCTATAAAACATTAACCAATTTAATGAAAAATAAAATATAAATGAAAACTTCTATATACCACCTATTATGACTTACAGGTTCATCATCAATAAGATCAAAGCTTAAGACACCCTGATGTATTGAGTGTAGTGTCATATAACCTAATGGATTGATATTATAACTCATTATTTAAAGAAGACAGAGAAAACTAAACTCTCCTCTTCTTCTAAATAGTATACTACAAGGAGATCCTATACAAGTTCTGAACTTGTTGATATAAACAATAAAATACTTGGTGTATAAACCCTTGTAAAAATTTTGCCAACATTGTATAATAACTATATATTATCTAAAATAAAGCCAATATATTCTATAAATTTATTACCTTCGGACGAACTAAATTGTTAGAATTCCGATAACTTATTAAAGTAATTCATGAATTATAAATTATTTGATGAGACAATTTTTCAATTTCTTTATAAATTGGTCTTGATATTGTAAATTTGAACATATGACAATTGAGATCTGACCATATGACAGACATTACTAAACAGCTGGTAACGTATAAATATGTTGGCCCAAATTAAGCTAGAATTAAATATGTATGTTTCCTAAATTAACATTACAAAAAATAAATTGATATTGTGTATAAAAAAAGTAAGTGGCACCTAAAAATTATTATATTACCAGGAAATATTATATCAAATGCTATTTATTTTAAAATTTATTCTATATTTATAATATTACAATACACATTTCAAGATATTCTTTGTATATATTCTGATTTATTCCAAATTACCTTTAAAAGTCTTTTAAAACTTCTATACCTACATCTTTATGGTTATTTAGTAACGGCAATGTTGCACCTTTGGACAGTCAAACGAAAGTTTCATTATATTCTGTGGATTTGCAACTTGTCAAGGTTAAAAACGTTATTCAAATGTTTGAATTTCATATGCAATATCAAAATAAAACGTTTAATAATTAGTGATAAGGAAGGATACTTTCATAAATTCAAATATTATTTTTAACAATGAACGCACAAAAATGTGATTGTAAAGAAAATAGGCGTCCGACTGCTGGCAGATCCGCATGCATTTGTTCTTCTAGTGGACAAAAAACCGCAGCTGATAGCTTCAAAGTGCCAACCCTACCTGTAAGTCGACCTCTTCATACCAATAACAAAGCTTGTGATAAGGAACAGAACGGTAAACCTGAACTCAAAGGGAGAGATGACAAGAAAAAGCAATGGGCCCTTACTGATTTCGACCTGGGACGTCCTCTCGGTAAAGGAAAATTTGGAAATGTGTACTTAGCAAGAGAGAAGGAATCGCATTACGTTGTGGCATTAAAGGTCCTCTTTAAAAGTCAGATTTTAGAGTCTGATATTGAGCATCAAGTGAGACGTGAAGTCGAAATTCAGTGCAGACTGAGACATCCCAATATTTTGCGCATGTACGGATATTTTCACGATGAGAAACGTATATATTTAATTCTGGAATTCGCCAAACACGGTGCTCTGTATAAGTTGTTGAAGGAACGCGGGCGTTTTGATGAAAAAACAGCAGCTATATACGTGAGGGATCTTACAAAGGCGTTAATCTATTGTCACTCCAAAAAAGTTATTCATCGTGATATTAAGCCGGAAAATTTATTGATTGGTCATAATTTCGAATTAAAGATTGCTGACTTCGGTTGGTCAGTTCATTCCCCATCTTCAAGGCGTATGACTCTTTGTGGAACTCTCGATTATTTATCTCCAGAGATGATTGAAGGCAAGCCTCACAGCTATGCAGTTGATATTTGGAGTCTCGGGGTGCTATGCTATGAATTACTTGTGGGGCTGCCCCCGTTTGATGCAAAGGATTCCCATCAAACTTATAGAAAGATAAGATATGTTATAATTAAATATCCAGAATTTATATCAGAGAAAGCAAAGGACTTGATGGGTAAATTGCTCGTCACCAATCCGGAGCAGAGGTTACCATTGGTGGAAGTTCTAAAGCATCCATGGATTTTAGAGAATGCCCCTGAAGGTGTGAAACCTCCAATTTATAACGCTGAACAAAAAACATGTAGTTAGTCACATATTTCTAAATAGATGTTATTTCTCCGTTATAGAATAATTTCATTGTAATTTTGTGATAATTAAATCATGAATTTTGTGTCAGATATTTATATTTGTATTTCAATGTCGGAATAATCATCAGTGAAATGTTTCATAATGATTAATGGGCATGTTATTATTAATCATTTAAAATATCCAAAGAGATGTGGACAAAAAAAGTAATTATTTATTGCAACCAGTGGTCATACAATACTTAATATTTATCAATGATTGTGCCTTACAATATTATAACATTATGAAATTGTGTCAAGTTATTTGTAATACAAAAAAATATATATAATTAGAACCATATAAGAATATTTGTACTGGTGTTGACTTTATATTGATGTGGTTAAAAGAATTCATTTTAATTAAGAATAAGTCATTTAATATTTATTTTCATAACAATAACTTGCTGGAATATTGAATATATTTGAAGTCTTATTAAGTAAAATAGAAGTCTAATCTTTATAGTCCAATTTATTATAATTTTCATTCTATGTATAATTGTCTTAGAAATATACTACAATGAATAATTACTTAGTTTTTAGAATATGTTTATCTCATTGATTGTGCTTAAAATTTAATTACAAGTGGACTGAACACTATTATATTCAAAAATGTACTGAAAACTTGATATTAAACATTTAATTAGTATTACTTCTTTTTATTTTTATTCGTATAATATTCATCTATTGCGTATTTGTCAAATCCTGGATCCCTTTTTGACTACTAAATGCCAATGCATGAACTCAGCAAGTAGGCATATTGAGCTTAGAGAATATCCAATACTTAGAGCCATGAAAGCACAGTAAAGCTTCTTCAAATTGATCAAAGCCTTAACTTCCTCTTCATTTTTTTCTTGTGTTCTTATCTTATACATGGCGTCATTCAGCCATTTTTCAACGAGACCGACTTCTACTATACGTCGTAAGTAACATCTGCTAGCGGCTTCAGCGGTGAGTTCTTGTGGAAGCCGATCGATATCGGTATGTTAACAACGCAATCTTTCATTATATGAAGATTCCTTTCTTTTGTATTGTTTTCAGATGACGTCATCAATACCATATTTTTCCGTTTAACGGTTAAGTACTTTAAAAAATTCTCGCTGTCGTAATAAGCAAAGACGCCTTGTGCTATTTTGTTTGTAGCTTGTTCGGGGTCATCAACATTTTCAAACATTTCACCGATTTTCTGGCCCATTTCATCTAGAGATTCTACGAAGAATTTCTTTGTTTCACTTCCCCAACCGCCGCATGCTATTTTTTACTGTCTACCAATTCTTGTAACGTATCTATAGTGACTCTGGGTGTTGGATTAGCTAAAATAGCAGTCATACTAGCTCTGTAAGACACAACTAACAAGATACAATACAGCCAGTACCATCCGGTAAGTAAACGAATGGACCAGCCCGTCGGTAACTTCGGTAAAGATACAACAACCAACATTCCGTAAGTATATAGGATACTATTTGATATTTCACCGAACAAATAAAGCCCAACAGGTTTTGTATCTGCAAAACAAATATTCGTTAAGGGTGAATGACCTGTACTGCTGCTACATGTTTGTGATATTTGCACCTAACAACATGACGATGAAATTAAATTGGTAATTTAAGATGTTTAACATACATGACATTTTGCGGTCGTTGGCTTCGAAACCTTCAGAAACACCTTTATAATTTAAAAGGTTCATGTAGTATATCGCTAGACCATAAAATATAGAACCCGTTACAAGTAAAACCAATAAAACTGCGATCCACATGTTCAATCTAAAAGAAAAAAATAAATATATTCTTAAATTTTTTACAAACTATTTTAATTAGATTATATCTGAGTAAATTCGAATTTTTATTTTAAATTATTATTATTACAAGAGAAAATATTACAGATAACAGTCTAACTTTTTGACATACTTAAATGGTAAAATCAAGGTTTTCCAAGAATTATCAGTTAAGGCTTCTGGTGTAAGAAATGTCCAGCATTGAGACGTGTATGGTATGCTCAAATCAGTCATTTCAAGATGGTAAGGGGTATATTGTAAATTTCCAAGGGCAACATCAGCCTTACTATTAACCATTTCACCGAGGAGACCAGAAAATGAACCATTATCTTGTTTGTGACCCCATTTCTGTGATTCGGCATTGATTGGTTCATATAACTTTGGTTTAAAATGCATTTTCTGAGCTAAAGTATTGAGAATCTAAAATTTAAAGGTGACGCATAAGCGGCATAAGGCTTTTTTAGATAAAAATCTTTTTATATTTTATTTCATACTTCTATCTCAACACCTCCTACTTCATTTGTAGTGTTTGATTTAGTAACGACTACTGAAGGCACGTGATCAAGGTACACCACATTTAATACTTCATTATAAAGATTCCCAGTTTTATCGGCGAATAGGTCTCTGCCGTAATGAAATTTATTTCGTCTCCAAATGTCGACGCGTCGTGGTATGAATATTTCTTTGATCAGATTGGGAAAACGGAACTGTGGAGAGATCAAACCACGCCTTGCTTTTTACATCCCCTAACACTTTACCATGATATTTTAGAAATATAACGTTCACGATACTCTTCCAAAGATAATGATTAGCACTATGGAACAGTCTTATATCATGCAGCATAATATATTTTTGCTCTGGTATCAAGAAGACGGTATCTAGGAGAAAAAAGATATATAAGATAAACTGGTTTGTTCCATTTTCGCTTCAAAACATATACCTACTTATAACCAAATTTTAACAATCTTGTCACTTGGAGTCCATTAGCAAGAATGATAAGGTAGACATTGCAGCCATCTTTTCGCGCTTGGCGTAAAGATTCAAGTGTATTGAAATTTGGAGACGACAAGTCTTCGTGCTCCTCAACAACTATCTAAAAATAATACTGAGCGGAGTATTCCATGTTTAAGATGAAAAATGTTTATGTATAGTATATGTACCATAATATTCGGCACTGTGAATATTCGTTTAAACAAAGCTCCTTCGAAGATGTTCAAATATACGGGATCACATACAACTGTGAGGCAGGTGACGTCATGTCTTTTTACCAAATAATTTATCAAGTCCTTGAGGAGATCTTGCAAATCTTTACTAATCTCTATGTTTTTTATAATATGACTAGAATCCGCGGATGTCCTAAAGAATAAGAGGTATTTTATTTTATGTACTAGAAATATACAAATTATATATTACTTACACAATTAGTAAGGAAGTCACCAAAAAGATCTTAACGGTGAAACCGGCCATTGTTAAATGAAATAAAAATCGTATAATCCACCTTCTCTTTAGCGTCTGATTGATTGACAGTTAGTATTTCGTATGCAAAGCAATTACCGGTTCAAATTGAATTCTTTAATAATAAATTTACTTTGATTATAAGGTCTTTAAAGTTCCAACAAGGGATTAGGGTATAAAAATAAAAGTTAAAAACAAAATAAGAAAAATATATTTCATAAAAATTCCCATTATCACCATAAATATTAAGATTTTTGTTCATAACATTATTTCAACAGCATAAAAATTCTTGTATTACAAAAATATAATTATATTTTAACATTTCCATAACCTATATATTTCTACTAGATAAATAAGCGTCGTTTCATTTATAAAACCTACACCATAATACATAATATATACAATAAAGTATATATAAAAGATGTATATAATGTATAACTTAATCTATATAAGGTCTCTATGTAAACTTTCTCCTTAAGCCCATAACAATAAAAGTATAGGAATGTACTTGATATTACATAAAATATTGTTCTTTATATATTGTATTTTAAATTAAATCACATATATATATTTTTATAATTTTGATTGCACATATGATTCCCAGAACACCACATCTTTCCACCAGTGAGGACGGCTCATAGCTTCCGGATAAGACATTACACTGTCCTGTAAATGCTTGTATACCTGAAACAATATGATACATATACATTCATTTACATAGAAATAATGAGATTGATGTCACAAAACATTTAAGTCTTAAGCATATTGTAGTATTCAATAAAAACTATATTAACTTTGCACTGTCTGTATTGTGCTAAGTAGCAAAACTGAATGACAGTAACTAATAATATAATGTAATCTAATACCGAGCAAGCATAACTAATACATAACACAAATATTTTTTCTATGTGTAGATGCTATTAATGCTATATTTACTTAATACAGATCAGATGTTTATATATTCAAAATATAAAACCATATTAAATATTTTATTTCACTTTTAATCTTCAAATCATTGTGTTATCATATGGAATAATAATATTATCTGTAAGTACAAAGTGGCATTCATATAGGGACCGACCTGTCCATCAGAATGTCCAAGTACTGAATTGAGACAGAAGTCGGGAGGCGCGAGGCTGTCTACTAGAGAGACGGCTTGAGGAGACAGCTCTTCACACAGACGGAGAACACCAGCACGAAGGTCCACACCCTGACGTGATGAGAAGTAGCCTCCCTGGGGATAATATTAAACTCCATACATTAAAATGAAACTAATATTATTTGGATTACTATTATTATTTAAAACTAGCTGACCCGGCAGACTTCGTACTGCCTCAATCAAGAAATAAATTATGTCTTATTTTATTTTTTTTGGTGTTTACCTTTAAGCCATAAATCTCCGTGTTCTGAAGTGCGACAAAATGATTGACATATTAGTTAGTTGTCAAATCTAATGTTAAAAAAACCGTTTGTATGGGAAATAAAAAAGCGCTGTTTTTAGGGTTTTCCCGGAAATTAATAATTTTTTTCAGATTTTAAAACCTTCCCTGAACCTCCACGAACATTTCAAGACTATGATAAAATAAATCCGTTCAGTCGTTCTCGAGTTTTAGTGAGACCAAGGAACAGCAATTCAAATAGATAAATAGATAATAGATATATAGATATAGATTACATACTCTCGGCGTTTCGTTATTTTGTAGCAATGTGATCATGGGCAGATGAGATGAATGTCTGTCAGTTGGTCTTGTTATTTGCCTACACTAGTTTATACACTAGTGAACTGAATATTATTTATGTTGAAAAACTTTTGTATTCGGAATCTAGCGGGTTGATGGAGTACAGTAATTTTTTCATTATATATACCATAACGATATCTAAAAAAACTACATACTCCCGAATTGTATAGTGCGTTTGATTTAAGCTGAGCTTTGCATTTGTGTGAGTGCACACGGATAGTGTAGGTGTGATGTCAAAATTTCGAATACCACGTTCTTTTCTTCTAGTTTTTTAACCGGTTTTATTCTGTTTTTACTCCACACCTTCCTCACTTCACCTTTTGTACTGGTAGTAAAATCAAATGTTGAGAACGCAATGTCAAGTGAAGAAAAATTTGTATGTTTTTTTTAGTTAATATTTTTTTTCCGTAATATTACCATTTAGCATTTACCACTTTTACATGTTTTACTTATTTTATATTTTTAATCTAGTATAACTCTCGCACTTATGTTATGTATCTATTTAAATATAATAAGATTTAATTCTAAAAGTTTTTTGTCTAACTCTACTTTTACTTTCACTCAGCTTACGTCTAACGGACTATAACCGATACGTTGGCAGAATGTACATAATTTTTAAAATAATATACAATGTGTAGTATATCCGAAAATCATAGTTTTAGCTAAATTGTACATCTTCTATTATAATTTCACCAACTAATATATAATAAAGCTTACAATGAACAACGTCGCCATATGTTTCTCAAGACTGTAAGCGGCGAACAGCGACATCAGTTTGAGCAATACCGCTTTACACTTCTCATCTCCGAATGATTTCGCTGTCTTGTAGAAATGGTTGACAATATAATTCTGAAATTGAAAATAACAAGATTTATGAATATATATGAAAAGTTCGTAACATTAGTGATATGTGGAGCTAGTACTAAAATTAAAATAAGAAAATGATAAATGAAATATTCATAGGCACGAGCAGAGTTTGAATCTGCAAACAGAAATTTTTTCTTTCAGTCACGTCACCAACTGAGCTATCACGTCCTTCCCTTGAGGATGTATATTTTAATTCAAAAACATGGAATTCTATATACTTTATTTATAGTACATTACGAAATTAATATTTCAACATACCTCTCCATAAACAACTGATAACATAACAGCGTAGTAGTAAGACTGTGAGTCGTTCTTACTCTCCCAGTTGTCTTTTCCATTTCGTTTCAACTGACTCACTTTCTCATACGTTATTTTCAGTAAGTAGGCCGTCAACCACTTGTACATCACGGTTAGATCTACAAATTAAAGTTATTTATGTATATAAAATTAAATTAAAAATAGTTATTACTCATATTGATTATTATTATTAGTATTTTGTTGTTCTTTTTCGTAAAAATATCTGATCGGGTTTTGATGATTTCAAGGATGTAGTTTAGACATCAGAATACCCTACTGTTTATCCCTAAATACGTGTTATTCAAAATATAGTGTCATAATAGATTTATATTGTATGAAGTCATGTACACAGTTCATAGATGGCGCTTTTAACTAGTACCATATTTTAAATTAAGGTTTTTAAGCAAACATTAAAAATTTTCTTCCTACAGTCCAAGAACAATTTTAGAATACACGTTCACGAAATCCAGAACAAGAGCTAGTAATTAAATAAGTAAATTATTATATGAGTACACAAACCTAACATTTAATTCCTTAAATAATGTTTTAGTTAATTCTGTTACAATGAAACATATAAAATTATTATTCATTGATATTTATCACATATATATATATATATATATATATATATATATATATATATATTATATATATATATATATATATATATATATAATGTGTCAACACTTTATTTATTTATACGGAAATTTTGTCAAAAAATTAAGTGCCTATTTTTTTTTACATAATTCGAATGAGAATCATGTACCGAGTATTCTCCTTAAATATTGAGAGTAATTCACCAGTCACCCTGTATATATATATATATATATATATATATATATATATATATATATATATATATATATATATTACTAGCTTTCCGCTCGCAACTTCGCCCGCGTTCAGTTCGGTTTATATCGCGTTTCCAAGAGAACCTTTCAAAAGTCTGGGATACAAACTATCCTATGTTCTTTCTCAAGGTCAACTCTATCTCTGTACCAAATTTCATTAAAATCAGTTTAGTGGCTTAGGCGTGAAAGCATAACAGACAGACAGACAGAGTTACTTTCACATTTATAATATTAGTAGGGATATTTTGACCAAAGCCAAGAACAAGAAGCTGTATAGAAAATTCATCAATATATTTTTTGAATTAAAATGATATTAATATTATTCATATACTACGCGTATTTTATTATTAAAAAAACTACATTACTACGTTTCGGTTACATTTTCTTAACCTACGTCAGTAATATGTAGTTTTAAAGTAATAAAATACGCGTAGTATAATAATAATATTATTTTCATTTAAATGAATGCGAGTCTTAGATCTTAGTCGAGTCGTATCTATTGTATAGATACATACACTACAGTATGTATGTATATTTGACTTACTGTAAGGAAGGATCTATAAGGTCGTCTCCTTCCCAAGGACAAGTCCTCTGTACCACTTCATCAACGTTCTCCAAGAACTCCAAGGTGCCAAGTGGCGTGTCTTTAGATGTTATCTCCCCCCTCCTGGGCCACACGGAAAGCAGCCAGTTGCTCGTTTGCTGCAGCAGCAAACTGTTCTCACCCTCGTACGTGCAGTTAGCGTCGTTATCATTACGAAGATCACCGATACCCGCCGCTATGAAACAATATATTATTGAAACATTTTATTATCACTCGTATTACACCCTTGAATGTTTATAAGAGACTAGTTTTTGCCCGCGACTTCGTCCGCGTTAGCTTCGTCATTAGTAATATATGTATAGCTGACCGGGCGAACTCTATTCCGTTTTAGAGGCCCTTAATAATAATCAGGTTTCTCCTGTTTCAATCGAAAAGAATGATTGACATATTAGTTAGTTGTCAAATCTAATGTCAAAGAAAACGTTTGTATGGGAAATAGAAAAGGGCTGTTTTTATGGTTTTCCCAGTAATGAATCAATTTTTTTCAGCGTTTATACCTTCCCTGAACCTCCACAAACATTTCAAGACTAAGATAAGATAAATCCGTTCAGCTGTTCTCGAGTTTTAGCGAGACTAAGGAACAGCAATCCATTTTTATATATATATATAGATATATAGATTATACATATAAATGCAGAAGTAATTATGATTGTAGTGAATGTCCTTCTTCTATCTAATCTACGGACCATATTTAGCAATTTTGACGGTCATTTTAGTAGCGAATAGATGATATAATAACGAGAAACTAGATAGAGTATTTGGTCAATGATAGTAAATAATAAATAAATAAAAATTCGCAAGTGTAGGACTTCTTGTCCTCTATGTAAGCATAACTAGTCACTGGCTCACTATTACCCCCACATAGAGCGCAAGCGTCACCGTTCTGCTCCGTGCTAGTCGTAAGACTGCCGAGCGCATGCCGCCCCCTCTAATGGGGTACGTGAGACAGTGTATTATATCTACTATATAGATACAAACACTACAGCCAGTGCCGTAACTAGGGCGGTTCCAGCAGTGGCCCCAGGCACAGGGCGCAGACCCTGGAGGGGTGCAGAAATGACCAGACTAGTATCTAGTCTTATCTCATGCATGGTAGCTATATACTTATATACTTTGTAACTTTGGTAAACAAAAATTAGATAGATTTATTTGTATGCACATTTGTCCATTTTATTTTTTAGAGCCTGGTTAGAGCATTTTTTCAGAGGCGCAATTTTGAAAGCTCGCACCGGGTGCATAAAAGCCTAGTTACAACACTGACTACAGCAAGTACAGCCAGTTATTGATATATGTAATTCTGTATAAGGAGTATTTATTATTTATAAGGATTTTTTACCCGTGAGGTAGCCATGTCCCCCGCACGCCTCCCTGGCCGCCTGTATCCCGTCCCGAGCGCCCCAGCCACACACCGGCTTCACCGCTGACGACAGAGCGTGCACCTCTATACCACGAGCTGCTGCGTTCTCTTGAACACCTGGAAATATAGAAATCAGTGATCAGTCTTTCTAGTATAGAGTAATAGTAGCAGAAAAGGTTTTGTATTATTATATTTTAAAGGTTTTTTATAAAAGGTATACATATTATATAATAGTTAAGGCGTGTATGTAGGCAGCCAACCTTCTTTGTCTAAGTACCGTTAGGTATATTAAATGTAATAAATATAGATTGGCTTGAATTCTAAGTTAGGAACTATTTGTTGCAAAACAATGCAGTTGGTGATTGGTGTTGTAAACAGAGATGCGTCATATAAATGATTTTAGTAGTAAAGTCTATTTGTAGTGCCTGTAAACAACAGATAGTTTATTTCTCTCTATAATGGCTACACTGATTTCAATGATGTTTTGTATAAAAATATGCTAGAGGAGACAGTGGTTTAGGTTGCCAAGCAACTTACTATTACATAAGTTCTTATAAAACTTTTCTATGGTAATATTTTTCTCTTATAAGACAACATTTTCTTGCATCTCTAAATCTATAAATTAAAAAAAAAAGCTTCTGAAGTCACGCGCTCAGTTGTATTAAAGACATATCTTTAACATCAGATGAGTGGTCCTCTTTACTAATTGCTACTATATAAATTATCATACAAATATCTGGGATCCTTGCAAAAAAACAAATGAAGAAAGCCTGGATAATAGAAAAACCATTATAAAATGACCCTACAAACTGTACTGTGTACCTGCAAAAATTATCAATGGTTATGTTGATGTGGAGGATACCAAACCAGGTGCAGAAGATTCTGTACGCGTATGTAGCAGCCAGGTGAGGCAGGAGTCGGATTTGCTGAAAAAATATTATATTATTGATAAATACACTAAAATAATGTCACAAAATGTCTTTAAACTATACCAATTGATAGCCTAATAAAAATTGTATATATGAATATTTATTAACACACTATCACTCGCAATTCGTTTAATTATCTGCTATTATTTAAGAAGGTCTTAATTGCAGAATGGTAACATAGATAAAAAAATAATATGGGAAAGTGGAAAATAAAGTTTGATAAATGTTATCGACTATGACTAAAGTCAGTCGGTACAATTCAATGTTGATGGTTGATAATTTAATTTGATTCCATTCAACTATAGTATATCAATGATAGGTTGTTATAAAAGACATTATAATATAAGACTAGCTGACTCAGCAAACGTTGATTTTGGTTGGTGATTAAAAAGTAAAATTTTTGGGTCGGATGTATTTTTTAATGCTACATTATAAAAAAATAAAAACAAAAAATTTCGTCCGAAAATTATGAAAAAAATTAAGGGTGAACAACCCTTACGACTTAGGGGTATGAAAAAAAGATGTTGGCCGATTCTCAGATTTACTCAATATGCTAATAAATTTCAACAAAATCGGTCAAGCCGTTTCGGAGGAGTTCTGTATAACACCACGACACGAGAATTTTATATATAAGAAAATATAAGGAATATAAATATCACCTGTTGCTGATATTCTAGTACTGGTATTTCCTCACTAGAGTTCTCCGGACCAAATTGTTTCCTCACCGCTGAATATCTGATTGCTATCACTATAGCCTTTTGTAAATAGTTCGTTGATATAGAAGTTATGAGCACACGACCGCCTGGAATAATTAAATTCAATAATTTTAATACCTATATTAGTATCATCACAAGTATTAGTAGTCAGTGGTGGCCTAGTGGTTAAAAACCCTCCTCTCATGCACGAGGGCGCGGGTTGGATTCTGGCCCTGGCAAGTACCAATGTGATTTTTCCGAGTCATATGTACTTTCTAAGAGTATTTAGACATCACTGATTAATGCATTCCCAAAGAGGGTTGATGTCAGGCAGGCAGCCGGTCGTAAAAACAATTAGCCAAAACTATTCACAACATGTAAGGCAGACCCTGGGTAAAGCTGGGAAATTGCCAGGAAGAAGAAGATTAGTATCATTACAAAACAATGGCTTTAAAATATTTTTTATTTACAGAAAAAAATTCCAGTTATCTATAACATACCTATAATATTTAAAATACCTTCAGTATTTTAAATAAGTTAAAGACATTTTATACTGGTTTTAATGAAATAAATTCAATTTATTCTCACCAGAGAGTATGCCAAGGGCTGCTCCGAACCTCTTGTTGGGATCTCTGAAGGGAGTCTTATAATCTCCATTATCATCAACCCCACCGAGTTTATCCAATGCATTTTCTTTGGGTATATGGTAATTATTGAACATGACAAACCTGTGAACATGAAACTTGATTTATAATATACTAGCTTTCCGCCCGCAACTTCGCCCGCGTGGAGTTCGGTTATATCGCGTTTCCAAGAGAACCTTTCAAAAGTCTGGGATAAAAACTATCCCATGTTCTTTTTCAAGGTCAACTCTATCTCTGTACAAAATTTAATTAAAATCAGTTCAATAGTTTAGGCGTGAAAGCGTAACAGACAGACAGACAGAGTTACTTTTCGCATTTATAATATTAGTAGGGATGTTTTCAATAATATGAACATACTGTATATGTTTTACCCATTATCAAGACCGTTTAATCCAATCTTCTCTCCAATATCACCAGCAATCACTCCCGGGTATAGCTTCAGTGTCTTTGGGTCCCTGATGGGAACAACGAATGCATGTAAGCCATGGTTTTTTGCCTTTGGATATCAACATGGCGTATACAATTGCGTGGGTAGCACATTTTCCTGACAAAAAAAAGATCAACTATCTATTTTATATGAAAGTGTACACTTATGTGCTTTTAGTTATTCTGTTTAAGAATGAAAGTCATCATTAGATAAGTTTTTAATATATGTTCGTCCTATTTTATGATTAAATTATCAATTTTAATAAAAAACAAAATTTTCAAACAGACTCAAGTAACCTCGACTATAGTTCAACCAAAACAATGGATTTGTATTATCATATTTATGTATTTAAGGTTAAACATGCTAAAGATAGAATTAAAATTTTGTACACATACATATTTATTTATATACTATTTCAACTTTAAAGGTCGTAGCTTATATGAATTTCTTTGTAATGCGGAAATATTTTTCGCTTTATTTATGCGAATACACAAAACAATGTTATGTAATTTATGCAATTGGAACAAAAAGACAAATTTCAATGGGTGAATATTCACCCATTGAAATTTGTCTTTTATATAAATATATAAATATGATATCATTAAAAATAATTAAGATAACAAAGTGTTCATACATTGTTTATTTTAAATACCTATTATAACAAAGTAACCTTTGCTAGGGTGACCACGCATTTTTTGTTTTCATTATCAACCCTTAAAATTCGTTCGTTATTTAATATTGGTAGATTAAAACTAAGTCTTCTACTCACCTAATGAGCCCACCCAGAATTTAGCTGCTTCAAAATTTGCTGAATTTATAACAAATTCTTTCGTCTCTGGACAATAAGTCGCTGTTGTTTTGCATGCCCTTGGCATTAGATCCGTGAGCTACTTCTGTTAATGCGAAACAGCCTCCTATCTTCGCTTTCTGAATGTCCTCTATAAAAGTGATAGTGATGGGCGCGCCCGCTGCCTTGTATGGAGTTAGCGAACATACGGAATGTTAGCGCAATTTTAACAGCCAGAGAACTATTGAACATGAACATTGCCTCTGACTCAGCTTGAAAGATGCAAGGCTCAGCAGCTATCTGAAATTTAACAGTACCGGCAGTTAAAATATTAATATTAAAAGTAATAATTAAATTTTAAGAAATGGTATAAAAACTTGAATTCTATAAATAAAAATATATTTTAAAAGTAGTTTCCGAGGTAGCAATTATTTCAAAAGTACCTAGAAAGGTATCTGTTTTACACAAATCAACTTTTACACAATCAATTTTATATCTAACTTAATTCTGTTGCATTCAAGAAAGAAGGCCAATCGTAATGGCATGCAATAGTCATGGTTTTACCAACTTACTGGCATGGTTGAACCCAAGAAACATATTAGATAATAAATAAAAACTAATATTAACAGATGATCAGGTGTTTTTTTTTATTATTTTAAACGACATACTCCCAATGGTTTGGTTACTTGCAACCATTATCACGGGCAGATGAAATAGGTATTTATTCGATGGCACAATTGCTCCAAGTAACCAAAATGTCAGGGGTATGTAGTTTGAAATAATAAAAAACGCATAGTAATCCGAAAATATTAGTTTTATTTATTATGAAATATCCGAAAAATCTTAGTTCTCAACTTATCAAATAATTTTTACAATATTACCAGGGTCATTTATGATTTTAAGAAATAAAATAACTGACTCCCAAGAAAAAATTTACAAGTGACACCTGAAAAGGTCATCAAAAAAAATTACTAACTAACTTCAGATTAGACTGAGATAACCATTATCCGATAACCTTTGGTTGATATCAACAACCCATAACAAGTTTACTTGTTTCATATTATCTTCTGCAATAAAAGATTTAGTTTATCATAATTATTGAAAAATATTGAAAATTCAGACTGCAATATTTTGTTTTAAATAACACAAAGAAACTTGCAGCAACATTTTCCGATAACTTTTGAAACTAAATCAAAATACTGATAATTTTAAAAACAGTGCTTATCATGGTATATACTAGAAATAAATCTTTTGTTTATTATATGACCTTTAACCTAAACCACATGATAACATATCAAACTATCAAAATTTAAAATGGATATAATAAGAATAGTATAAAGTTATAATTTATATGTACCTTTTCAAATGATGCAAACTGTTCATTGTATAGAGCGTACATTCTTTTGATGGTCAGATGTCTTTCTTCATCCATCGAGAGCCTGGTACTTGGATGTTGGAACAATGGATGTGTCTCCATAAACTTCCAGATGTCATGCTATATTACATTTTAAAATAAACTCTTATTTACTCATTTAAAATACTAAATCAACTAAAAAAATATATTTGTACCTTAAATTTTAAGTGAAGCATAATTGTTATATACAAGTTTTCATAATACGCCAGCTAAATGTGGCTTTCTCTCTGTAACGATCTAAGGGACCCGATGGAAAATCCGGAAAAAAAATCTTTCAATTCCTCTTCAGTCATCATTTTTGTAGAATTTTCCATAATTAAACTCAAAAAAAAAAAAGGCACAATGAGATCACTATGTTGTTGTTATATCGATAACAACGTAAAATAATTATTTTGTGCAAACCACTAGCAGAGCAAAAAATAACTGTGTAATTTTAATTTCTATTTTCAAGATATGCTATTCTAGTACTTTGTAATTCGAATATTCCTAGTGAATATTACTATTTAGTTTATAACATAGATAGCAACAAATATATATGAATATTTATAGTCAGAAGTTAATTATTATTTTACGATAAAACTTAGTTTTGCCAAAAGCGCAATGACTTAAGTAATAAAATACATAATCAAACAAAAAGTGCTTATTTTTGGCACTTAACATTGACGTAATTCATTTAATTTTGACATTGACAGCTGCAATCATACTTGATTTTACTAATAAATAACATATCATTACCAACCATTCTATTAATTATAAAATTATTTTGTAAATAGGTAAAATTAATATTTATTAGTAAAAATAAATTTTGTTACAAATATAGATATTAAATTCAACATTTAAAACATAATATATTTTTTTTAGGTTTATAGGGCAATAGTCGGTATGTCAAAGTTAAGTTCTACAAGTTTTGATATTTGAAAGCTAAACTTTAAAGTTTTAGTCAACAAAAATAATAAGTGCCTTTTTACGGAGCCTTTGCTTATTGTTAACTATTTTTTTTTTTTATATATTAATATATTATATATCCTGAAACAATGAGAATAGGTAAGTGTTAAGGCTTTTCATGTTTTACAAACATTTTAAATCCAAAAGTTTTGTTTGAAAACTATAATAGGTATTTGAAATTGATAATTAATTGTATAAATAATGACCGTCAGTAATTGATAATATTGCATATGGTATTTTTAATATTTAACGCTTTTTTTTTCATGAATAAGTTTTTAATAATTAAATGCTTATGTCGAATGAGATGGAACAAAAACTGTTACTATTATTTTCAACTGAATTATATTATATCTATCAAACATACATATATAATGAAAGAATAAATATAAATTGAATCTTAATAAGATTATTTCAGTTGTAATATATCTAAAAAGACTAATTTTAACAACAGAACTAAAACGGCAAATTTTTCTTAAGGTTTATCTTAAGAAAATTCAAAATGAAAATATTTTTGATAATCTGAAGATAAATTAATTTATTAAATTGTTGATTGTTGTTAATATTGTAATGTTCTAATATAAATTGTTTATTTTTTTTTTTTGTGAGAATTATTATATATCCAATATGTTATGTAGATATATAGGTATTTATCATAAATAGATTGACTACACAGATATTAACAAAATAGAATATAAGATTTTTAACATCTATAAAATCGTCTCATCGTCTTTGCCGATTATCCTTTTGACGGAAGAAACTTGTTTTTTATGATAAAGTAATGTATAGGTATGTTTTATTTATAGACTTACAAACTTTTTATTTTGTTTAATATTTTAAACTTGTATAGATGTGAAGTACAAATATATATACAATTATATTTACATATAAGTATGTTATAGGAACTAAAAGCTTATATAGCACATTGAATTGTCAGTAAACGGGTAAGTTTTAGTCATTCCTGCCCCAAATTGAAATTCAAAAATGTTTTCACATCTTTTATAGGCTCTGCTAAAAATCACTTTATAAATTTTCTCTCTTTTTTTTATACTAAATATACATAAAAAGCAATTATTTTTTATAAATCTGTTAAAGTTTTTCTGTTTTCTTACTTGCAACTTTTCCATGGAAAACGATTAAGACTTTTATAAGATTATTTTTTAAATTATCTAATATAAATTGTCAATTAACTTTTTAAAAGATAAGAAAGATATTGAGGGCATAAAAAACTTTTGTGAATGTTAATATTTTTCCCTCCAAAATATTACAGATAAAGCATAGTGTAGGGTTAAAGTTATTTACATCTTGTCACACAAATATTACTCAATAATAAATAAAAAATCTATGTAACTTGAAAATAGACAAAAATATGGAAAATTTTCTTAAAAAATTTATACGTGATGTATAATTTATTGTACCAGTAGCCATTTTTCGACCTATCACCATGGGGCCATCCATAAAATACGTCACACTAATTTCATGAGTTTTTTGAGCCCTCCCCCGTCCCTTGTCACAGGTGGTCACATTTCTGAGACCCCCCCTCCCTAGTGTGACGTCACATGTCTTGCAATTTAACATCGAAAAATTATTAATTTAAAACAGCAGTTCCGAAATTAGTTTTATTTAGATTTAAATTAAGTACTTTCTTATGAAATCAATACAGTATCAAATATTTGAAACAATAACAAAAAAATAAACTAATGAATATACATTAATATATATGACTAGTTTTTGCCCGCGACTTCGTCCGCGTTAATTTCGTCATTAGTAATATAGGTATAGCTGACCGGGCGAACTCTATTCCGTCTTCAATAACCCGGTAAAGGTATTTATTAAATTTTCCACTGTTTCAATCGAACAGAATGATTGACATATTAGTTAGTTGTCAAGTCTAATGTCAAAAAATCGTTTGTATGGGAAATAGAGAAGGGCTGTTTTTAGGGTTTTTTTTTCGGCAATCATTCCAATTTTTCTCACCTTTTAGACCTTCCCCCTGGACTTCCAGGAGTATTTCAAGACTAAAATTAGCCAAATCGTTTCAGCCGTTCTCGAGTTTTAGCGAGACTAAGGAACAGCAATCCATTTTTATATATATAGAAGATGACGCGCTCAGTTTTAAAGATTTTAATTAAAATTTCAAATTACGCTATTAGTACCTCTAGATTTTGAAATGTGATGTCATGAAACTTAGGACCCCTCCCACCCCTTGTCACACCATGTCACACTTTGTCGACCTCTCCCCCCCCCTTTACGTGTGACGTACTTTATGGACGGCCCCCATCCCAGCTTAAATAGAACAGCATCAATAAATTTTATAACAGTGTTGTCAATACGAATTATCCTTGTTTTAATTTTTACATCAGTGTTACCACTATAAAAAAAAAATACTTCATTTAATATATTGGCTTCATGAACATTCAAAACACTGATTCCCTTAGTCGTACTAGATTTTGGAATAATGAAATAGAAAGTTTTGTCTTTGAGACATAATTTTTTTTTAGGACGAACATAGGCGTAGGTTAAGCAGTACTTTACGTTCGGAAATGTATTTATAATGTATGACGCTATTCTTTTTTCAGTACAGGATTATTTGAATGTGTTTTTTCAAAAAATAAATAAGTGTCATTGTCGCTTTGGCTCTATTTCGACAAAAAAAAAAAAACGTAAAATGAGAGAAAATAAAAGAGATTTGTTGAATATCTAATTATATAATTCAGTGAGTTGGTATACTCACTGTAATATTTTAGTATATCTCTTTCTAATTATTATTTACATTTAGTATTCTAAACATTAACACTAATCTAACAATGTGTTTTAAAAAGTATTTTAAATATTGTAGAAATGTAAACACTTATAATAAACTAGCTTTTGCCGCGACTCCGTCCGCGTGGAATAGTGACTTACGGCAGATTTTTGGTTCTTCCAACATAGTTCCCGTTCTTGTGGGGTTTTCGGAATGGTCCAGTTCCCGTAGAATTTTCAGGATAAAACCTATGTTTTTATTTTATTCACAATGAAGTACTCTTAACCAAAAACATATTTATTTGTTTATTTGAATAAAGATTAATATTATTATGTTGATACAACTTAAATTATTTCGACCAAATTAGGTACCATAAAAATGGTTTTTTGTGAGTTAATCTTAAAAGATAAACATATACTGTCGCGGAGTGTTTTTTAGATCATTAAAAGAGCTATTATTCTTTAATACATATTTTTTGTATATCTTGAACCGTTTTCACGGCGCACGCAACGGAAGGCTTCAAAGATGAAATAATTTCTCCCGTTTATTACACATTTACCACTATATCTTTGCTCCTATTGGTCGTAGCGTGATGTTATATAGCCTAAAGCCTTCCTCGATAACTGGACAATCCAACACAAAAAGAATTATTCAATTCGAACCAGTAGTTTCGAAGATTAGCGCTTGCAAACAAACAAACAAACACTTCAGCTTTATAATATCAGTATAGATGAAAAAATAGAAATTAAAAAAAATTACTAAGCAGTTACGCAACAGATAAAAAATGTATCATAAAGCATTTACAAATATTCTTCTTAAAAATATTAGTTAAAAACAAAATCTGTACTAAAGTATGGACAAAGTTATTATTAAACCAAATTTAGAAAACAAATGCTTTAAATTTAAAGTAAAAATACACTGACACTATAAATGAGTTTTACGTGTAATTTTTGTAATCACTGAAAGTTTTCACAATTATTCTAAAAGCCAACCGCTATACAAATATATTTTATTGTGTTAAAAATTAAAACGGATCATAATAATACTTGAAATTATGAGTTACAAATAGGCGGGTAGTTTGGCTCTAACAAACATCTAGCGGCCGAACACTAAGTTTGCATAAGTCTTCAACTTGCCGCTTGAATATTCAAGAACATCATTTATATATTACTTTCATAAAAGCTTGTTTTTTTATGAAAATCCTTTATTACTTTTTCCATTATGGAGTATCCGAAATATTTACGCGATTCACATCCCTACTAATATTATAAATGCGAAAGTAACTCTGTCTGTCTGTTACGCTTTCATGCCTAAAACATTGAACTGATTTTAATGAAATTTGGCAACGAGGAATAGAGTTGACCTTGAAAAAGAACATAGGATAGTTTTTATCCCAGACTTTTGAAAGGTTCGCTTGGAAACGCGATATAACCGAACTCTACGCGGGCGAAGCTGCGGGCGGAAAGCTAGTATTTTAATAAAGCAAAGATCTACATATTTGTATTATTGATGAAGTAAAATTATTTTTTTCATAATATTACAGTCAAGTTTATATATTAAATATGTATTACAATATTATATAAAAGAAAAACACTAGTCTGCTGAAAGTATTAAATAAAATGTTGAGGGAGACTCGCCGGTCATACGGCAGTGTTACTTGGAACGTAGGGGATGCAATACGTCCCCTCTCGTTTCCCGCCACTATGATCGCGTTAGGTACTTTTGAATTTCGAACTATATTATTTTATAATCTGTCATTATATTATATTTTTTTTTTATAATCTGTTATGTTTTTTTTTTTTTTTTAATTTTTTGTACTTTTGTTACAGTTTCAACGTTGATGTTAATTGTTTTTGTGCAAACGACGATTTGTTTTGGTAAGTTCTTTCCATCAAAAAAGTCCATTACTTAACCATTATATTTATATATTCTCATATTATTTAAGAGATCAAACATACATTCGAATTATAAATATAATTACGGTTTTATAAAAAAAATCTTTGTAAAAAAAAAAAAAATAGTGTTAAAATTAAATTGAAAAAAAAAAAAAAACAACTAAGAAAATATTTTGAACATCTATCATCGGAATAAAAAAACTAAAAGGTGTTGCATTATAAGGATGTGTTAAATAAATATTAACGAAAAACCAAAATATACTAAAATTTTATATACGCTTATTTTAATAACTAAACTAAAAAAAAATCCCACACATTGTTAATCATGAAATTTATTAATATAAAATTCATGTGTATATATTTTATTAGTATCGGGGTATGGCAATTAGTTCATCTCATCAGTATGCACGCTTCACGTTTATGTATGGTATATTGCTAATTGTTTATGTTGCGCGCAGCCTTTGTGCAATACGAAATTGAAATTGCAATGGATATATAAGTCGCGTAATTAATTTAGGCCTCGCTGCTCAAAATAAAGCCATTCATTGTGCCCATTCAATTTTAAAGTTTAAATAAATATTTTGGTTAAATTATGCATGTGTTCGTCTTGGAGGCGTTATCTTTGTATGATTTTGAAGTTAGATTTTAAGGATTTCCATTCTTCTAATTAGGTCCACTCGTTTTATTAATTATATCCAATAAAATGTTTTAGAGCTATGTGTATAGACTGTGTCTAAAAAGACGAATTCGTTTATTTTATTTAAAACAAAAGGTTTTAAAATTAGATTCTTATTCAAACTATGTATTAATAATTTGTTTATAAGATTTTATTTTATTATTTATAATAATCTTCTCAAATAGTCAAACTATGAGATAGAGTCTATATTTAAAAAAATGCGAGAAGTTTTCTTACTATATAATTTTACGGTAAGTTTTTTTCTCAAAAGAACTTTTATCCCGGTAAAGTAAAGCCAGCGTCCATTATTATGATTTTTTTGTTATAAAACGGATTAAAAATTTAAGTACTTATTATTATTTCGTAGCAAAAATATATATCTACTCATTACTTCAACACCGTTTAATAAACTGAGAGTAAATTATAAAGTAAAAAATATTTGCGTAAAATTTAATATTAAATAAATGTAGATGACTTCAACGTAGAGTTCTTCACGTAAAAGATACTTTATGTGAGTCGTATCGATGTATATGAAGACGGTAAGTCGAAAAGTTTGCCAGTATTTTTTTAAGTTTAGTACTAAGGGTGTGAACTGAGAAGGTCCGTAAGCCCCCTCGTACTTTGCATATTTTTTAAGTTTGTAAGTTTGTTTTGAAAGTCTACGAGTAGTTGTCTGGAATCATTTGTGAGACAATTTTTTCTTCATTTTTTTCTGCATTAAATCTTAACTTAAAATACATTCAATATAATATTCCATTTACCTACTTTTTTTTGTGTACAAGTGTGAGCACGTAATTAAAATATATTTTCGTTAATCCCCTTGTTATCAGTGGAACATGATTTTAATGACTTTACAATAATCTTTTAATATTGTAGAATCTTAACAAAAAAAGTCATACATTATAGGTACTTACCTAGGTTTTGAGTTACGCTTAAGATCCCCAAGGAGTTAGTAGATGAAATGCAGCCTTTGTATCAAATTTCAATGGTTTTCAATGAAAAGTTATTTATATATATTTTTTATAGTGATGAATGATGGTGCCTAGTCGCTTTCATAATTTTCCTATACTTACTAAATATTTCTTTTATATATCCTTGTATTTGAGCGTATTGTAAAACAGTTTAAAGGTTTTAGGCTTCCTTAATGAATGGGATACCTAATGTATTATCTTTGAAAGAAGTTTAGAAATGTGACAAGTTCATGAAATTAGCGATTTCAACTAACAAAAACTCTCCATCTTAATAGTGTTATGTTACCATAAAAATTTTTGTAATTTTTACTCCACTATATGTATTTCCTCTTCAAAGACTTTCAATAGAAAATGTTTTCTCTGAACAAACCCTTCATTATACTAGTTCTTTTGTACTTAAAATAAAAATAAAGCTTGATATGTTCATGCAATACTTATACATATACATAGATAAAGTTCCTCCAATAAATGTCTTATTAATAAAAGTACCAATAATAACAGCTTATAATGATTATTAATATTTAATTTCAAGATGTTCCAATTGTTTGAATTATGTCTCATTCACATTTTTACGAAGTTAGTCTAAAACTTAAATTATATCAAAGGAAAGGTGTCAAGTGTCTGTTATTAGCTATTAATAATTTAGAACCATTTCGAACCTAAAATGGTTAAAAAAATATTATTTTAGTTCAAATGTTTTTTGTCTTTATATGGCATTAATATTTAATGTATATATCGCTATAAAATGGTTTTAAGAAATACACTCAGCATTAAATTTATTATGTATATTACATAATTACCAAAAAAAATAGTCGTAAATAGTGACCTAATAAATAACCTTTTTCTATATAAAATGCATTTCCTGATTTCATAAATTCAGTTTTGAAAAATGATTGAATTCATTCGTTCGCTAGTCCAGAGAGTCGAACTTAAATCTGATAAAAGATAGGACTTAAAGCATCTTATTTGAATTTCTGTTGGAACTAGAAATAGACGGTTCGTTGATACCAACTCTTTTAAATAGCGGAAAGCGTATGCTTAAATAAAATCGTTTGTATGCTCACAGTCAACTCTTATGTATAGTAGAATTATAAAAACTGTAAGGGTAATTTTCTATTTTAATTTGAGTATATAGATAGAATAGAGTTCTTATTTTTTGGACAAAAGGTATTGTCGTAATTTTTTAACTAATCAATAAGTTTATAAGCGAATTTAAGTGGTAAATATATATTTATTTAGCGTTTTAAAATAACTGATATCTATTAAATTTTTATCCTAGTTTGAATTGCAATTAAAAGCGGGTACTTTTCTCTAGAGCAAAAATCTCATCAATACGTATTGAAAGCGTTCCTTATAAATTCAAATATCCGTTGCATTCCCGTAGGACTCCACTGGATCTGCGACCTGGAATTATTGATGCGCTCTCAGCTCGGTGAGAATGTGCTCAATTCCTATATACAGGGGATTCACACTGTCACCACTGTTATAGTTCGTCTCAAATTCCTGCAAACTATCTGCCATTGAGAGAATTTATTGCATGCAACATTACTCTTGAGAACAGATGTGTATAAATACTTTATATCCATTATATGACACACGGAAGCCGAGCCTGAGTTTTAATAATATGTAGGTCTGCTGCATCAGCTCCGATTCCATCAAACTCCACCTAATCCTGTTAGATTTGTTCAAATCCCTCCATTTGGTGCGATGGCTGGAATTATTAATGCTCCAATGCTATTTTCAAACTGAATTCTGTATAAGGTGTATCCAGGTCCCGGTTTGAAAAGTTTCAACAAAATTGGACGAAATTGATTTTAAAAAAGGCTTTCGAATACCGAATGAGATGAATGAAAAATTTATTGAAACATGTGATAACTTTTGGTAATGTTCGTTTGGTGAGTTAGTGAATAGTTTTTCATTGAATGTACGTTTAGGTTGTGTCTAGATCAGAATAAATTAAACAGGATTGATTTATATATATTTACATAAACATATCTCGTACTAAAAAAGACTTACAAAATGCTAGGTCATCTAAACAATAAATCTTAAGAAGATTAATCTCAAAGCAATGTTAAATAAATACGCGTCAGAACAGAATCAGCAGTCAATTTGTCATTTGCAAAACATTACGTTTATTCGCTTATCTGAACCCGGAGCTATCTCCAGTTTGAAAGGGAAATCTGCAAATAAATCCGAGAAGGCACAACTTAGCGGCCATGAATAATGTAGACGATCACCTGAGGTGCGACACATTAAAATCTCTTTGGCGATTTTATTGAGCCTCGGATACGTATCGACTGAGGAAATGGATTTCTAATAACTTATCAAGCTTTTAAAGCCGTAAGATCCTTGGAAACGGATGTAATGTCTATTTAACTTTGACTTACATTATTGGAAATGTACTTACGTCATATTCGCTTTTCTTTTTAAAGGAAAAGAAACAGACGATAAATAAGATTTTTCTAAATCTGATAGGATAGTTTATTCAATTTTCCCTGGTCCTAGTTTTGCTCGCTACTAGCATTTGATTGAAACTGTAAATCTAAATCAGCTGAGCGGATTTCTTAGCTATACTAAGTTTTTGTATTATGCCTTTGTATTTATTATAAACGTACCTTAGACCGAGTTATCCATTCAGGAAGTAACCTCAAAAGCGCAGCTGTTCTACTAGCTCATGTTAATAACGTTCAACATGCACAGCCCTCGAACAATGTTATCGCATACCCGTAACATTTTATTGACACTTCCGTCAAAGTTTCACACGCGAACTTCCACGCCATAAATCTTTCTCAAAGTTAGATTGCACCGAAACTTAACCTAAAGGTATTAACTTATGAATTATTCATCGGATTGTGCCTATCGAGTATTAACGGCAGTTGCTTATCACCATGAAAATATCGCCTCTTTATTGTGTTTGCTGGAAATATAATATTTTTTCTCTACCATTTCATAAAATAACTGTTCAAAAAATTCAGTTTAAAATAATCCGTTAGTTGTATGGATATGATAAATTTAAGATCTGAGCCATAGTATCGTAAATCCTAGAGGATCGATAAAGGTAACACAGTTTCGTATGCCTGATTAATAGCGATGTATGAAGCCTGTCGATCCATTGATTGATGAGCCCCGCGTGAAGCTATTTGTCATAATTTAATGATAATGTCACGTGGATCGTGTTATCTCAGGTAAACACATTAATGAAACATCCAGCCCGCCTCGTGTTATCCGACGCTTAATGTATACGATAATTACAGTAAAAGTATTGAACATTTTGGGTTACATTGTATTTATTTGTCGCAGATTCGAGGAACATAGTTTTTACGATAGTCAGTCAAACCGAGCCGTATCATTCTAGTGTCGCTAATCGTCTTAAACAGGATATAGAGGAACAAATATTCCAATTGGAGGAGGTGATTTAATATATTAAAATAAAATGATTTGATTTTCGCACCTTATCATAAGAAATACAGTTTTTTTTTGTTATTTATAGCGAAAACCAGTAGTCCACATTACTCATAAAGACTTCCCCGTTTCTGGAGCGTGGACGATCATACCACTGCTTCGACCTTTGATAAATAAGCATAAGAACAGTGATGTCCGATGGATTCTTTTCGTTGAACCCCATACTGCGGTTCGATGTGAAAATCTCATAAAAGCTTTAGCTGCTGCAGATAAAAATAAGGTATGTGTTGTTTTAATTTCAATTTAAATTTAAAATACTTTTATAAAGTTATGATATAAATAAGCAATTATCTTTCAGGAAATAATGTGGATAGGTTATCCACTGAGGGATAGCGAACCTACTATAATACATCATTTTAAGTTTTACGAGGAATTGGAAGAGGAGGGGGGTTTCGTGTATCCACATTTTGCTAGCGGTTTCGCAATGAGACTTGAGTTTGATTGACAAGTAAGATTTATTTTTTAAGGTCAGTATTGATACTCTCTTAACTTGTGTACACTTTGTTGTCTTCATTTAAGGCTTATAAAACCAAATTGAGAGCGGGGAACGACATCTAGAGGCAGATTTTTCAATAGACCCAGCATTCGAACTAGCTCAACTAGTTTACGGAGAAAAGGATAGGCCTGGTCCCTTACTTACACCGGATCTTAGTTTCTGTGTTTATATCTGGCGATAGTTGCGCTACGTATCCACGGCAGTTTGATATATGTGTGAGTTTGTATAAAAAACCAATACTTCCCATCAATGGGCCCATAATTATGTTTTCTTCATTCTTTATCTCTGTTTTTTTCAGGGAAGTCCCATACCTGAAGATTCTATATTTTTTGCGGTAAAGACCTGGAGCGGCTTTCATTCCACTCGAGCCAGAGTTGTGAAGAAGACCTGGGGAAAATACGTCACTCACTTACAGTTCTTTAGTGACAAGGCTGGTGAGTAGAGTTTGTGTATTTTACCTTTTTGTTTTAACAATTATTAGGCTACTCAAACAAAGAGTTAATTTTTTGTATGTAATTGTCATAGATCCCAGCCTGCCAGCAATTAATACCGGCGTTCCCAATACCAAAACCGGTCCATTGCGAGAAAAACCATGACGATATTGAAGCAAGCCGTAAAAATAGTGGAGCAATTGCCAAAAGTCAAGTGGATATTTTTAGCTGACGACGATACCATATTGGGGTAAGCCATATAGACTATATAAAGCGGTTTGATATTGATAACGATTTGTCGTTAATTCTATATATACTTTAGTGTTCAGAGACTCCGTGAAATTCTGACATGCTATCGAGGGGGATATGATATCACTGTCATAGCGGAGAGATACGGTTACGGATATGGAAAGAAAAATCTCCGGCGGAAAAGGTTAAAATTAAACGTATTAGTTTCGTACATAATTTTTCTCCGCTCTAAAATGTTCTGAATTAAACATTACTCTGTCGATTTCTCGGTTTTACAAAGACTTCAACACTGTAAAGCTTTTTTTAGCTTCATACTGAAATAGCAACAGACCTCTAACCATCATACATCATAGATATTTATTATACCAGTACTACATATTTATGGTTTGGATCCATATAATAAACTTTCTTTCATTTAAATCAAGTTGGTTAATATATTTCGCGAAAACTAGATGACTAAATCCGTTTCTCTCTTGACAGGGTAGCTATAAAAGAGTTTCTTAGTGCAAAATCTCATATTTTCTTTTAGAAACATAGAATTTTATCCACCAACTCATAAAATTTAAGTTGGTTTAAATATTGTCGGAAACTAGATGACTAACTCTAATATTACCTTGGATATTTATAAAGAGTTTCTTAGGGCAAAATCTCATGTTTTCTCTCAGTATCGTAGAATCTAACCACTCATATATCCCATCCTCGCAGGGTATTCGTACCCCACGGGGGAGGTGGCACTGCCCTCTCTATAGGCGCGGCAGTCGCTCTGTCTTCATGCCCATGTTCATGCCTTGGACCCAGCCAGATGATATGGCGCTTGGAGCCTGCGCTGCTAGAAGGAATATCACCATCACACACTCACCACTCTTCCATCAGGTAATACACGACCACTGATGACAATAACTTACAAGTTCAATAGGTTCTTGACGCTATGGTAACATATCGTCGGGGATAATGCAAAAAACGCGTATCTAGCATTGGATAAATTTAAAAAATACCTTAAAAGTCGCTAATATAGAAAATATTTCAGCTTAAACATTCTTCTGATAATCTGCTTTCCAATGTACAATAGATACGCGGATTTGCACTTTCCCCGACGGTTGTATGTTCACCAAAAACCTTCATCAGTCCAGTCTGGACTTGATTTTCAATACTTTTTTACAAGGAATGAGATATGCATGATTTATATTATGGAGATTTATTTTATTTGTGTATCAGGCTCGTCCCCCAGGATTATCCCCGGGCGGGAGGGTCCTAGCCCGGGGACCGCCCCGCGTCCTTCCACCGCCTGTCCGCTCCACCGGGACGGGTCTACAGTACCTGGTTCCAGAGAGATGACCTCGCTATACGTGGGACAGGCAGGGACGAACTGTAGACCAGTATAATAAGACCTCTTGTAGAGATCAAGGAAATTATGTAGATTCTTTATATTGAGCATTATATGCCAGAAAGTTCTCGCATGGAGGACAAAATTGCTGAAGCCAATATATATTGTTGTGTATAGACGAAGCTGCTTCAATGTTGTTTATAGGACTTTGTATTTTATAAGGTCGTAAATTTTTTATGTTTTAAAAACTTTAAATCAATTATTTTTTATATTGTGATGTAATTAATTATGTTCCGTGGTTTGTATTTTTATCGAGTAGTTATAAATATGTTTTTTACATATTGTGTTATCAGTGCCAGTCCAACTGTACATATCATTGATATTATTAAATAAATTTTATTTATTTTTTTATAAATATTGTTTTATTTAGCCTCGTTCTCCTTCATTCTTAAGTTTTTTTTCAACGGAAACTACCTTCATTTCATGAATTTTGTACACTTGGATATCTGAAACAGAATCCAAGACTATAAAATAGAAAAATAATTAAATGTAGGTATTATAATATAATAAGCATAAAACTTATGATAAAAAAATTTTAAGACTTGTTTCACGTAACGATGGTTTTTTAATCGATTACACCGGTAAACTTAATGAAATAGCATGTTGTGAGGAATGAAATTTAAATAGAACTGATTGCTCATATAAATATTTACTCAGAGATATATTATATAAAAAATATGGTTAAATATCTACTATCATACAGCTACAGAAATACAATACATACCAAAATTTACTTAAAAGGAAAAAATAAATTTATAAATAATATTTCTCGAGCATACTAAAACTTAGCTAAAGGGTATAGAATAAAATCAATCAAAAATGTCTATATATTCATCATTTTATCGAAGGTATCAAAAGGAATGCATTTTGAGAGTACGAGTAACGTAATGAAGATTTCATGTTAGAAACTAAAGAAGCTCTAGATACTCTTTGTTATGAATTCAAAAAGAAAAATAAAATAAAAAGATGGCAAACATTTAAATACTACGCACCCGCATTTATTTCTGTAATCATAATAGATTCGCCGTATTAGTTATATAATGTAACAAGTGAAAGTACCTTTTGGTTAAATTAAGTTCCAAATGTCTTAAACAAGTAATGTAGTTTATTTACGTCATGAAAACTTGTTTCTATTACACTTTATAGACTATAAATTTAAATTGAATCGCAATACTGTTACTGCATAAGTTTAATAAAAATCAATAACAGCTATTGTGTTATAATTACAACTAATGTAATTAAGGCACATTTAGATTTTTTGGGTGCATATTTTTCATTATAATTCCTTTGTTTATATACAGGCCCAAAAATATGGTACATCAACTAGATCATATATTTTATTGTTGATTTTTTTTTTTTACATTTGGAAACTTTCTTCTTACTTCTAACATATAACTTCAGTTCCATATTGATAAAAAGTAATATTAATGCACATATAATACAAAAATAATATATATTTATGCAGAATTATAACTTATAAGGAACCCCAAGGGGTATTAATTTATTACAGAGTAGAACATTATTATAGAATACTTAACAAAATCCGATCACGTAATAATTATGAACAGTCCAAGCGTATTGTCTATCGAAAAGCGATTTACATTAACATTTTCAGAGGAGTTCTGAAAGCGGCTTTATAAAAATGTTCCACAACTGATAGCAGTGAATTACAAGCATTGTACTTGAAGATATTCTCTTACCTCCGCTCTTTGTCTCCTTGTCAGATAACGACCACTTTATTCAACTGCATGTTTATCTCGATTGTGTTCCACGACTTGTGTATTGTCTCTTCAAATAAATTATCGTTTAACTCCGTGACTCAATACCAGTATAAATCCTTTAATACTTTTTTACTTCTTAATAAGCACGTTATTTTAAATCGTTACATAATATATCATGGGACTGCTTGCATAATTTGTAAGCATTTTCATGTTGAATCCCTAACTCCTAAGTGTAATCAATAATAAAAAGTTACAAAGTATTTCGGTGTGACACAACCGATACATTTGCCAAAAGTTCCCAACTCGAATAACTTGTTGGAGTTTAGGTATTCATCATGAGCACACGCGATACTCCGCTAAGTACGGCTGGAGCATTTTTCATAGTGACAACTTCTAAGTGCGACCCTCGAAGTTTTCAACTTTGGGGAAGTGTCAGGAGGCCAGAACATTAAGGTTTTTTACATATGATAAAGAGTTTTTATAGTTTCTTTGTCCAAATAAAGATGGACTTATGCTTGGATTTTGTTTATATTCTTCAAACAATTGTAACAGTGTGTAATATACCCACAAAATATGAAGAGTTTATTGAAGTTGTATTAACATTAAAATGAATGTAGGTTTCATTAAGCTAAAACCATATTGCCAGAACTGTTGATATAAAAAAAATGAGTTTTAATGTATGAAATGGAATATTATCATTCAACGCAATAAAAACTTGGAATCGTAAAGAGCGTTTACTTTATTTTATGGAAGTCATGAATGTATGCATTGAAATTTCTGAATGCTGGGAGGCTTCCATTTTAATCCTATGAAATTGCAAAACACATTAACCTCGTTTTTTGGACAAATAACATTCTTGTTGGTTGTAAAATAAATTTTTGATATATATTTTTTGTAATAAATAATAAGTGTTAGTTTAACTTGTTGAAGTGGATGTGTGTATAGTGACTACAAGCTGGTGACGATGCTAATGTTTAAACTGATCTTCTTTTCATCATTAAAAACCCAAAATAACAAAACCCGTGTGATCAGGAAGAATATCTGGAGGTATAAATGAAATTAATATTTTCGGATTTTTTATTATAAAACTATTTGAACTATAACTTTGATTATGTACTAAATACAAAAATAAAAAATCGCGTAGTAAAATCCGAAAATTATTAGTTTCATTGAAATGGATATTCGGGAAAATCTTAAAAATCTCATTAACTGTAGATATATTTTTTTTAAATTTTTATTTATACATTATGTTATATGTTATGTTATAAACATTTTTACTTTTATAAATTTAATACAAGTTAATAATCTAGACTTACAAAAATCATCATTGAGATTACAATTTTTTTTATTCTTTTTTAATTTTTTACCTCGCGCAGACCACACTTTTAATACAAGGGAAACTTTACAGTGAAATTACTCCGTCGCAGCAGTAGTTAGTTTTGCGGTGATTTTTTTTATTTAATCTTACAAGAAATACCTTATTTAAATTCCAAGTCTACAGCTCAAACAATCCACAGTAATATTGTGGAAGCGGATTCGTTTGTCTTTCATTCACGATTCCTTGTTGGAAAAACTAAGTTAAAGTTCTCATATAGAATTTAAATATTAATTTAAACTTAATTAAAATAAGGTAACCTCGGTATTTCAATATTTGTTTTTGGATGTTAAGAATATTCATGTTTAAAGTTATGGCTTATAATATAAAGATCGAATGAAGTTACTATATACATTTTCTGTTTTAAATCCTAGTATGAAATGTATAAAATATAATATTGTTATCTTACTATTAAATTTTAAGACTAAATCGCGGTGCGATCCTGAACATTAAGACCCTGTTCAGCGATAGAGCCATTGATTGCCAAATTAATGAATGTTATTTCGAGAGCCGTGATAGATACCATTAATCACTTTATAACCTCGCTTTTACGAAGTGGATTTAGTAAACATCCATTAGTTTCAAACGCATTTCCTATACGTTTTGTGTTCGTTTTTGATCGTAACAATATATTTTCCAATAGTGTAATATTTGTTTCTAAACTATAAGGAAGTCTCTCGTCTGGAATCATATTTCTAAGCTCGTTGTGTGCGGAGTAAATCGGAAGGCAATTGCTGTTTAATAGAAGTACAACACATGCTGTTGCTAGCCCGCCCCAGCGCGATATATGCCCTGTATGTGTTATAAACATATTTTGCTCAATTCATTCTTTTTAACGTACGATACGATGTCGCATACGATATTTGTATGTATATGAAATATATGTAGTACACGACATATTTGTCAATATGTACATATTAATGTATCTTTTTTAAGTGTTAAACTTGTCAGATATTTATCATATAGCTCTGTAAGGTACCTGGGGGTTATTAAGGCCTAGCTAAGGGAAATTTGTGATAAAATGAAAAGTGTCCATCATAATCAACAAGTTTTATGGCTTTTTTTAGTAATCAGTCATTTACTTAAATAACTACAAAGTTTTAACAAAAAATAGCAACTTCTGCTTAAAATTAAAAGAATATTTAACTTTTTTTAAAAACTCTCTCTGTAGGCCTTATTATACTAAGGGAGGGTAAAAAGGCCTATAGTTTTAAACTATCGAAAAAAAAAAAATCAACTTAAACTTTATAAATTGGTATTTTTTGACATCAATAATCATACAAATAAAAGTAATAGGAACATAAATGGTCTTAGAAAATTAAATAAATTGCCTCTATTCGCATCCACCAGGACACTGAAAGTCATCAGTATCTTCCATCGACAAACCGACACACTGTTCATGATACCACTTTGAAGCATTGCGAGCATTGTCTCATTGCATCATCCATTCTGTCTTCTTCGCAGGCATGACAGTACCAGCTCACTTGCTTTTGTGAAGTACCTTTGATGGTGGTAGACTTTTTTTGCCGATACTGTTTTAGCTTTCTTTTGGATTTGAAGTCTTTTTAGATTTCTTTTTTTCTGTTCTATCTTTCTTTCCTTCATTTAGTTTCTCATCTTGCTTGGTTTCCTTTTTTTTTTGTTATCTTTCATTACCTTAAGATTTTTTTTCTCTTCATTATATTTATCAAACAAGATCTTTTGTGACGGAAGTGCCTCTATAATTAATGGCTTTTTTGCCTGAGAGTCGGTGTTTTTTTGTTTTGATCTTTAGCAGGCGTAGGCAGGAGATCATAAAATTCATATCTTTTTATCTGATTCAGAGGCAAATCATCAGATGCGTCTGAACTCGAGCTTGTACCATAAATTGTACGATAATAGCTGCGTTTCATGGTTGGCACTCTTGAGATTTGCCCTGTTGAAGTTGATGCTATAGCTGGTGATTGATAAGCTTGTTCTGAAGTCGTTGATCGAAGACAATCAACAGGTGAAATATTTCCTCGCAGAACATCAGATATTGGTATCTGTGTCAAAATTGATGGTGATCTATCACTAGATTCTGGAGTCTTCCGTTGTTGACTATCAATAGGTGGTACATTTTTCTTGGTCAAGGTCAGGTGTTGAGGCTTCTGATAAAAAAAGTAGGTGTTGTATTTCCGCATTCTGGAGTTTTGTGCTCGAGGATAATCGAGAGCGTTCTCTTGGTGGTCATCAGGTGCTGGAGCTTCCGTTAAAACTGAAGGAGCAAAAGCTGTTTCTGGTATAAGCTGTTTCTGGTATAGCTGTTTCTGGTATAGCTGTTTCTGGTATAACCAGTTTAAAAAAGTAGGAGTATAATTGGGCCTATAGTCAAATTTTATAGGCCTTAATATCCGCCGACCGCGTGCTTACAAAAAACAAAACAAATATTTTTTTTAATACGATACACCCTTTAATATGGTAAGGTAGGTGCAAGCATAAAATAATTAACGAACAGACAGTCAATGCAGGTATGTAACTGTGATATTACAAAATTTACTTACGTTTTGCTGGAGCCAATTTTTATAATTCCGGCCGCGCGACCGCTCCCCAAAATGTTTTCGACGACGCTGGCGCCGTGGCCAACGAAAGAGCGCGTCCGCCGCTTCGCAGCGACGTGTACACGCGCTATGCATGTGTGAGTGTAACCTTGATCGTCAACTGTTATATTTCGTACGATTTTTGTCACTTAGGCTTATTAACCGACAGGCCTTAATACCACGCGGGTACCTTAGTTAAAACACTGTTTCTTTCTATTCCACTAGTATTGCAGTTTATGTAATTTCATTCAGTATTTATTCTTAATGTCTTCTTCATAATGAATATAGTGAGTCGTGCCGTCTGCATACAACGGAAGTCAAAGATGAGACGCTCGCAGCCTCTTTGAACAAAATGTAAATAAAAAGGAAGGTTTCTACGAGATCGTAAATCAAGCTACTCAGGCAGAGCGGCGTGCTCGTTCACCATTGTACGACGACTGGCCCCATTGATCCTACACCGATAAACATTTTAACCATCAATAGAGCATGAATGCTGTGTAAACATTAGCTCTTTTTTTTAATTAAAAAAGTAAGGATAATTATTTTATTTACATTTGGTAAAGTTATTACAATATTTATAATGTCTTTTGTCCTAATTAATATTTGATCAAGTTTTTAAGTTTTCGTGATAGATCGAGATGCTAAAATTATAAATCGTAAATAAAATTCGATCTAGAGAAAGGAACGTGTGAATGCCGTCGTTAAGTTGACAATGGAAATATTCTCGACACGTTATAGAAAGGTTGAACACTTATCAAAATATATGTATATTCATGTAAAGAGCAATCGACTTTCTGAGCTAAAGCCGATTATGGTGAATGCTTTTCAAAATGAAAAAAAAAAATACGATAAATTTATTTATTCCATAAGAACTTTGACATTAGTTTCCACTTCTTAGTTGCTCGTTATATTAAAAACTACAAAAAATGTTGAAAATATGTATTTATTACAATCATTATGGAATAAACAGTATTCTCACTGTTACATAGATGTTATAGTTATTTTGTGGTAAGTAAATAATTATAACTAATTCCTTTCTTAAATATCATATATCCATGAATCTCCTACTTTTTTTTTTCATTCAAAATAATAAAGAATAAAACAAATTAGTAGCAGAATTACATTGTGAATGACAAGCGAGTTACGTTCAAAGCGCTCGTCTTCATCTTACGACCATTTCTATAAATTGGTCAAAAATTAGATAGAGGGTTTTACGAGAACGCAGCTACAGAACAGATATATAAAAGGCTATAAAAATAAATTGGACGCGACTTTGCTGTGCCCTGATACGACTACGACGTCCGTTTCATCTCACAGATGGAAAATTGAGTATTATGCCTTATATATGATGGAATTAGTGAAAATTTGTGAGGACTACTATTGTACGAGTAAGTTGTGTTGAAAACATTACTTTAAATAATAACACGAACTGAATTCTTAGCTTTATCTATCCAATAATTATTTTATTGAGAGAAGCAGTACTTTAATATTTAAAAGCGTTCAGTAAGAGACTATTGAAAAGGTTTTAAAAATGTTAAGGGCAATAATAAGATAAGTGAAACCTTGAGATTTATCCAAAATTTTCTAGAAAGGCTAAGTTTTTATTTAGGAACATTCGAATCAGAGCGGCGATAAATAGGCAATCCTCATCGGCATTTTGTTGTCCATGCATTCATTATTAAGATTGGGATTCTTGGCTTTATTATCTGGTAAAAAATTTTACCAGCCTTCTCTGTCACGATTTTTTAAAGAATCTTCAAAGAACGTATTTTTATAACACATGTTGTATCTTTTGAGAAAATATGTATACCAATATTAAACGTAATACATTTGTATTGGGTCGTTTTTTTTTTTTAAGGACTTGCTACATATCATGACACCATAATTGGCTTTACACAAGCCACTGATCCAGACATATATAAGGATCTTAAAGGATAAAAAGCTTCGCGATCTCTTTTTATTTATAGAAAAGGACCAATAATTTGAAAGGGTTGTTGACAAGTTGAAAAGGATTCGGTTGGTTTAAGTCGAATATTAAGGAAAATAAGATTGTGTGTCTATATTAAGAACTAGTTGCGGTACTGAGAAAAAATATTGGAGAACATGGGACGATCGATTATGTATGAAAAATATGTACGAGTTTGATCTGAGTAAACATATTATATGACGTCATTTATTTATCCACGTATTATGTTTTTAAGTTAATTCGAGAGGGATATTAACTTTAAAACAATTATGTGTACAAACAATGTTTCACACTGAAATTTCAATGGAAACTTCCTGAAATTTAAACTTATGTTTCTTTAATTTACTCGGTTCTGGTTTCTACCTGCTTCTATATTCTTTATATAACTATAAAAAAAGAAGAATACTACCAACGGCAATTTTTTTAAAGTACGAAATTCAAATAAAAAGTTTGACGAACATTTATAATCCTAAACACAGACCAAGCTCTTTTATACTTCGCTTTAAATAATTGATTTATCGAGGAAACAATATTTTCCCTTTATTATTTCACACACATTATCCAATATGAGATATCAACAATCAAGTCACAAATTCGTGTTCCAGAGACACTGATGGATTTAATGTTGTTCACAGCCAGAATACTGACAGCGTGAACAGTAACACTACATGATGTTCAGAGCGACCTCACTATAGCTCAGATATAATGGTAAAAGTTTAAATATCATTATTAATATCTGAATTACTTTACTTTTATGCTAAGTATTTTCATTGATAGATGAACATATTATGATAGTTTAAAAGAATGTATCCCAATCTGTCAAATAGTTTTTTGATTTTGTTTTCGAATTAAGTATAACAGATTATATAAAATGAGCTGAATGTACAAGTTAAAATAAAGTCCTTAAATTATTAAGAAATGGAAGTACATGCTTATCCCCTACATGGCAGCCGTGCAAGTTGAGACTTGCCTCTGAAAGCCTACCAACTTCTGTGGGCTCTATTAAACTACTCCTGTCAATGGAGTATAAACTTGCATGCTTTGTGAAACATTGTTTAAGAACTATAACCCTTATTGCCAACAACAAAAGAGCTTTCCTCGAGTTTATTGCTGAAAACTTTGACGTCTACTTCATTGGCATGGCTTAGTTTGACGGCAGTTAGTACCAACTTTATCCTACGCTGTTTTGCATGTATAAGTAAAAACTTCGAGTGGAATTTCTATATTTTTGTTGTGTTTGGTGATTTATATTATATTAAACCAGTCTATAAATCAAATATTATTATAATAAAACTAATAGGAATTAGTTGCAAGTATTTAAGTCAATTATTGAAATGAAAACGTATGTAACTAAACTAATTAATAAATTGGATATAGTAGTAATAAATACGCATTAAATTTCATATATTCCTTTATCTAATTACGGGATTCCCGTTACTAATGCGGCATATGGGGACACCATCCGGGATAAAAACAAAGGAATTAATTTGCGTCCCTTATTTGCGGGATAATCCGTGCTCTGGGAAGCAATAAAGAATATTGACACAATAAACTACAGCCAGCTCGCCTGCACAGGACCTGAATATTAGATCCACTACAGCTCCATTGTTTCATTTCTTTTCTTTTGTTTTTTAAGGACAAAGTTGTAGGATACAGAAGACTTTAATGACGCGAATTATAAAATATTTTATTGAAGCCCCATATTATTATTATATTGGCGTTTATATTATTGGCGATTTTTTAAAAATTAAAAAACGTTTTTATTTTATTCGCCAGTTAAAACAATTATATAGAATAAGAAAAAAAAAAAATAATTCTATATAGACCAAAATAAGGTATTAAGTTTATGATAAATTAGGATGAGTATAACAAAAAACCTTTTAACAGATAAAGGTTTAAAATTTAACTGTATAAGAGCCTATTTGGTTCATACTTTTTAATATAATTCCCTTATTACTACTGAGTGATTTTATTGCATAAATAAATTTTATATATATTGCATTCCTTAAGAGTCCAATAAAACAAAGAACATTTCAAGCAGATATAATCTGTTTACATTCAATGGAACCGAGCATCGTGTATGAGAACATAACACGACGTGAAATCCCAAAACGACCTCTTAATAATGCTTTCTATCATATCGCCTCACTACTGCCTAACGTGGTTTGCTTGCTTATTTTAGTTACACACAAAATCTTTCAAAATTCAACCCTATAGTAGAGTGCTACAGTATATTTTTAGAAAGCACGTGAACGCGGCGCAGAAAAATTGAATTTTGCAAACGTTATCTCGCCCTAATATAACAAGTTTAAACGAGCCTGCTGGGTGGACATTGGTTATTGTACATTCTTTATTAGAAACCTGTGACGAGAGTGTAACTCTGTGTCAGAACAATAAAAAAAAGGCGTTAAAGCTTTTTGGAAAAAACATATCAAAATGATTTACGTAAATGATAAAGCTGTGTACACATCTATTTTATAACAAATATATTGTAATAAAAACTGAATAGTCATACATTAAATAGCACTACCAAAAACTTATACTTTCAAAGTAACATAGGTTTTGTTATTCCAGCTTCAAACGTTTATGGAGCGTTCTCGTCTCCTCATTACAATCCTGCAATAATAATAGACTCATTTTCCGTTTTCATTTTACACTCATGACGACACTATTATTATCCTCGCTAAATTGCTAGCCTTTGTTACAACAACGAGCACTTATCGCTTTAAGCTACTTGGGATGTGCAGCTAATTTACAAGCCTGTATTGTTATAATCTAACTAGTCAAAGAATCAAATAGATTGAACATAAATTTTTCATTGTGTTTGTATGAAAAACGTTAAATCATATTTTTATATTCATTTCCCAGCGAATGAATGGGTTACATCATATTGTTGGATTTTCATAAAAGCTTTTCATACATTCTCATTACTATATCCCTTTAATACAATGCTTTTAAAATGCAAAATACGTGTAATGATTAATATAAAAAATATTATAACAATTTATCAATATGCTATTACAATGTTTTTTTGTACCAGTTTATTAATGGTATTCAAAATATATTTAGTTCTTATTTAAAATAATGCTAACAATATTTACCTTCATACGTAATCCATTATGGCGGAGGAAAGCAATTTATTCGGGTCCCGAAGACTTGGACAGTTTGTAAATGGGAGTTTAAATAAGATGAAGTCAAACTAATGTCACTTAAACATTTTCATAAAGACTTTTAGATTTACAATGAACTAATTGTGAGAAATTTAGCTCTCTAAAACAATTCTTTGTTTATTTATGATAAGAAAAAAAATAACTAAAAAGATTTAACAAATAATCGAAGTATGATTGAAAATAAACACAAATAAGATGTATGTGATAAAAAATAATATGCTTTTATAAGATCTAACACACACGCGAGTTTTTACTCATTTAAATGAAACCAATATTTTTCTGATAGGGTGGTGGGGTGAGTTACCCTTGAAATACCTATCCGTATGTGTGGCTTTCCTATAAACAGTATGTCCCAAAGTATTGTCAGGATTCCTAATGATAAGTTTTATCAATGAAAGCTAAAGAATTAAATGCCTCTAATTCTATAGTAAACTGAATCTTGAATCTTGAACAGCAACAACTGACAGACAATCACATCTCGTCTGCCCGTGATAACGGTTTGCTGAAAAGTAGGCAAAAAAGTCGGGATTATGTAGTATTATAAAAAAAACATAAAGTACGCGTAGTATATCCGAAAACTATTAGTTTCATTTAAATAACATGTTATTTATTTAAAATATATGAAATTATTAATAAAAAAAACATTTGTCCTTTAACACAATATGTCTATATGAGAAGGTCCCGGTAAATGGTTTGTAATATCAATACAATAAAATATAATGATTATATCATTGTCAAAGTCATAATTCCAAATTTATGTAGGTAAACAAAATATAAATAACCTTTATTTTATCAAGAAACTACATAGAAAAAAACGCTAATTTTTTTCGACCAACCTTGCAAACCAGCCGTGACTCCGTATGTAAAGATATCAGCAGTAAATATGAAAGAAATCTATTTTCAATGCATGATTTATGTGTTATCGTGTCTCTAAAACAGCGTCATTTGTGACATAGTTCTCTTGCCTTTGTTTTAGTTGAGGCTCGTCCGCGACTAATCTCCGTACAACATACCCGCACACGATGAAAGATATTTTATTATTACGTAATCTTTACTAATCACGGCTACAACTTAATTTCAAAATATAAATAATATATTTTTCTAAACATGTCACCAGTTATTAAATGCTTGAAAAACTATGAAAATTAACACCGATAAATCTAAAGGATAATGTCCAATTGTGTAACCCCGTCAACATTGTCGAGAAAAAGAAATCCCTACTAATATTATAAATGAGAAAGTAATCTCTGTCTGTCTGTCTCTCCGTTTGTTATGCTTTCACGCCTAAACCACTGAACAGATTTTAATAAAATTTGGTACGAGAGATAGAATTTGAACTTGAGAAAAGAACATAGGATAGTTTTATTACCAGACTTTTGAACTGATGGGGGTATCTCTTGGAAACGCGATATACGCTACCGAACTCCACGCGGGCGAAGCTGCGGGCGGAAAGCTAGTAAGATCATAAACCGTTGATGCAAGTCTCTAACCTAAACGTCGTGAGTATGCTGTGGTTTTTATAAACATAATAAAATATTCATAGTAATCCGAAAAATATTAGTTTTCATTTAAATGAATCCTGAAAGACTTAGATCTCATTAAGATCATAATTACTTTGTTTCACAAATAAAATAAAACAAACAACAAATAAAAGCAACAATTCATTTGGATCAGTCGCAGGAGAATGGTTTCATTTTCCAGCTAGTGTCAGGCTCCATCAGGCAGGCCTTTGATAAAGTTGCAGCGAACTAAGATTTACGCATTTGTTAATAGTAGCGTCGGACAAAAAATATTACATTGTTTTTCATGTAAAGTTTTTTTGTAAGAAAAAGTAACCATTTTTTTATTATCTTTTCCTTGAATACTAATTGGAGATTTCTATTAAAAATGTGGTTGTTGATGTGGTATTTTTTAAATATATCATTTATTTTTTATTATGTTTATAAAGTTTCTTTTTTTTTCTTTTAGAAAATCACGTGTTGAAAACAACCTCAGCCACATCAAGGTCGGCAACGCATCTACAACACTCCTTATGTTACAGATGTCCATGTGCGATGATGACTACTCCCCATCAGGTAGGCTGTCTGTTTATTTGCTCCTTTTGGACAAAAACAATGCTCCTTATTACTATAGTTGGCCTAGTCTAATAGGCATCGTCGCACTACATAGTTTTTGCGTTCATAAGCATTCGCACATTATAGTATTAACATAGGGAAAACGCTCCTTGTGTGTGACGATATATGATTTGACTAGCCGTATAGTAATAGTTTATTGACTTCATCAGCTAGGAGCCATACAGGGACATAGTAAAATGAGTTGACATCAAAAGAAATATTTCTTTGGGATGACATTATTGACGTAAAACTTCTTTATCGCACGCTTGGGGGTAAGATTATGAAAGCGTTACGAAAATGCGATCGGCGAGGAGAAAGAAAGAGATAGGGAGATATAGTTACTAAAGATAGTGCATGGATGGATTTTGATGCATGGAGGAATGTATGAACGGACGGATGGGACGGACGCTGAAAAAGTTGATAACTAATGTTAATCTCGTTTCACTATCATTAAAGAAACAACAAATGTGTTTAGTATTCGTGATGTATAAACAAAAATGTGGTATTTGTTTATAAAAGTACAGTTCCTTTGTTAAATATTTTATTTGCGGACCGTACCTAAAAACAAAGCTAATTTAATCGTTTGGAACGGACCGATGTCAGTTTATCTCGCTGCTAGATTAAATGAAAACATCAAACCAGAATCTTTAAATTACATCCTAAGTATATTCACTACACTTCGTATAATTCGACTTATAATAATTAATCTTTGATTTCAATTATTGTGTCATATTTTTTATTCAGAAAAAATATATAAGTATTGGCGCTATCAGTTTTAATGACTGATGCGACATGAAATAAATTGTGGTTGACTGGAAAAACGAAATCAAAGATTAATTAAAAAGAGAATAGAAGTATGTTTGAATTTTGGTATAATTATGACGTCTGGAAGCACGACGGCAGAGTTCACCTTCGTGCGGAGCAATGAAAAATGTGATTATGAAGAACCTTCGAGAAATGTGAGAAAATTTAGAACAATTGAAGTTTCATTTTTTTTTAAATATCATAGAACGTACTGAAAGAAGTGACATTAGTGACGTCAGCGAGGCTGATGTCTCTCTTTAAAAACAATGAATTTGTGTTAAATCCGATGTATAAAATAAAGTGGGGACGTGAAATAAAATGAAGATTAATTAAAAACAAAATTTTATTCTTCTCCTGCTAAATGCGTTTAACCCAGACAGACGAACGAAATGTTTCATACAATATGGCATTGATTTTTAGTTCGTTTAACTTATAAGTAGAAGCGGAATTCTTAGTAATAACATTAAGATAAATAAAATAATAATTAATAAAAATAACAATACATCTAATTTATAATTTCTAAATTAGTTTTTCACAGATCATTTAAAAAATACAGCCGAGATCGAATTGTTCAGGATCTATCTTTCGTTTTGATGAAATATAAAGAAAAATAAGAACTCCTTAACATTATTAAGTACGCTCCTACAACACACATTTTAAATGTTCTGTGAAAAACAACAAATTCAAAACAGTATTCTATAATATTTACATTAATATAATTATTTAGTAACTGGCAGTATTTGGAAGGCGAATAGTTCACGCGAAGCACATGTAAACATTGTTATTAAAGCGTATTGGCTGTTGATAGAACGATATGCTCGTCTTGTTTCATAATTTAAACGATATGTAATATAAAACTACAATACTTGAGAATTCAAAAAAGTATTGCTTATTGGTATACCTCCGATATGTATTTTAAGGCACTAAATGTGAAATTAATGCTATACACATACAGATTATGAACTATTTTTTTTTGTAAACATTTAAACATACTATATACAGCGTGTACTTATTTTATTATTGCTCTACGTAATAAAGCCTACCAATGCCTTCTAAAATAATTTCTGCATCAGATTCATTAGTTACCAATAATTAGTCAGTTGTTATTGGTTTATAGTACTATTTAGTAAAGAATCACATTTCACAACACACCCTCTTTTTAACACGCGTTCATGTTTTTTTTTTTTGTGTTTTTTTTTTTTCTTGTTCACTCCTGACGTGAACTGTGTATTTCGTATGTGACTAGTAATACGTTATATATTTTTAATTTACCTTAAAACATTTTTTTGTTCCAAAAACGTCCAAGGAACATTGTAGAGTAAATTTTTCAAAAATCTCATGAGGCACTGTTTTCTTAATCTGATATATACAGTTGATTGGATAATTTGCTAATTATTATACTGTGGTGTTCCCAAAATACTTACAACTCACACAACACAGTGACGACTACATTTTTATTATTTATTAAAATTTTAAAAAGAAGATTTGTATTAGATCCTCACGACTGCCATCCCGACAACAGACACCAAATATAACTCGATTGAACCAAAACGACTTAATGTTTTAAAATCTAGTAGAAATCTTGGATCTAGTTGTGATGCTAGTATCTATCAGTGCTGGAGGAGTCCTGGCTGGTGATGTCACTGGCGGCGTCTGTGGAACTTGAAGATCCGGTCGTATTGGAAGTTCCCCGGACAGACGGGCCGGACCGGTCGGATGTGTCGGACGTGTCGGACGTGGCGTCGACGTCGGACGTGACGTCACCGTCCGGTGGTGAAGTTGACGTCGCCGGCAAGGCCGAGGTCGGTGGTCGGATATCAAAGATGTTCGTCGCGACCGTTCAGAGGCTGACGCTCGACGTGGTCGGAGGGACGGTTGCGTTTGAAGAATCCGCACTGAAAACAAACCAATAGGCATTAGTATGGTTGATACGGAAACATGTCATTATGTTTTTTATTAAGATTAAATAATATGCAATCAACTACAACAAAATGTGGACTGGTAATTGTTTTCGAATGTCCTCTTATAGTTATATAGTATGTCAATTAAGATTCGAAATAGCATATCTCAATAACAATTTGTTCTACTCACTTTGTATAGTGCGAAGATGAGCAGTAACAACAGCAGCGCGCCGACAACAGCTGCCAGTATGATGGACCCATAGAGGGATGGCGCCGGAGTCACGAGCTTCCAGCTGAGGTGTGAAGGGGTTGTCACCGCCTCCGCTGACCGCCAGCCTCGCTCCAGGGCCGGCCCACCAGAGGCAGACGGGACACGCGAGCAGCGCCCAGAGATGATATTTTCACAGAGCGTTCCTGAGAGATCTTTATAAGAACAGAAATCATATTAGATATTGAGGATAATAATTTTGTGAATATTACTGACAATTTGAACGACAAGGGCTTAACAGTTTCATTTAAAATAACGAGACTAGACTACCAAATCAAATTGGAAATGAATCACAGTTCTTAAAGTTTATTCAGTAACATCTTTGTCATTTCCTCTTTATTTAAATTTTATTTTTTTTGGTAAATATCCAAGAATTGCATTTTCATACTTCATTGAGGTACGGAGGAGTTGATTCGTGACCGTAGCGCGACCCAAACAGCCTGTCCCTTCACGAGGCGGCCCGTGTGACACACCGCCACCACTGAACACTTGTACTTCTCTTCGCAGCGGGAAAGCATCTCCTTTAACTCAGTATCGACCTGAGAAAAAAATAATCATGAAATTGTGTACATTATGCGCTCCACCAATTTTACAAATACGTCACGTATTAAACTCACTTCATCTTGTCCTTTTTTCTTCTAGTACTTTTCTCGTCTCTGTTCCGATGACGAACTGAAACTGTGTCCCCCCTGACTGTGAATATGATCTATGACCGCCTGCAATTAATAACAAACATATATTAGATTATATTTGAAAACATAGCCAAAAATATTCGAATAATTTTATATTCAAAAAGAATTGAAAAGGTACACACCTGATTGTGAGGAAGAGTACGAATAGCTTCCACTGTTTTCCGTATGAGGAAGCCGCTCCTCCTTGCACACCACCTTGGAAAGCTCCTTGTTGACCACTCTGGTAGACTTGTGAACCAGATCTGTACGCTCCACCACCTCCACTAGAGCCCTGCCTGGTTAGTCACGTCAGCGATACTGAACTTAAACTCATTATTAGAGTTTTGGGGCTGCGTATGCTCCAAAACCTTCCAGTTTGTCCTCTTCTTCATCGCCCACGACAGTGACGCTTGGATTTCTATAGGTATTGGATCCGGCGTTCATAAAGATTTTGGATTAACGGTTTCTGTAGTACCCCACGAACCATGAACAAAACCTTGACTAGAACCATAGTTCTGATTGATGCCCTGATTGTTTAAGGTAACTGAAAATGTAATATATTTTATCCAAAAAATACCCAAAAAGAAATAAGTCAATAAAATATAAATACAAGTATTGTATAGCTTACGTGTTAAAAGAGCTACCAGCTTCACCCTCATGCCCCATGATCCATACTCAGTACTCGTTTCAGACTCGGAAATTACATTATGGTTAGAATCGAAAACGACAGTTTTGTTTCTAATTCGGACTATACGTCCATCTTGTCCATATTCTGCAGATCCGATGCCTTGTCCGCCTTGAACGTTGAAACTTTGTCCGCCATGACTTTGCTCTCGACCATAATATTGGCCACCTTGACTGTAACCATTTTGACCATAACCCGAACCATGGGAACTACTCTGAGAATATGTATTTTGACCTCCTTCATTTATATTTCTCGGCCGGATCCTTGGTAATTTGGTTGTGCCATAGCTTGCAATCTCTTTCGTATCGCCTCTTGTTCTTCAGCTGATAGTCCTTCATTTGAACCACTGGACCATGTACGATTATAAGAGTAGGAGCTTCCACTCCCTTGTCCGCCACCACCCATTTGACCACCATAAATATTGTCCCAGAAATTTGATCATTGTTTTTATTGAGCTGGGTACCATATATGCCAGAAACAGCACCACTATTTTCATTTACATGTGTGTCCGTATTGATCGCCAGTTATTTTGACCACCCTGGCCACTGATATGAGTTCCGTAACGAGTGCCAGATACTTGGGTACTACCATACTGTTTTCGCCTGCAACTTTTCCACCGCTAAATGTGGGTGCCATATTGACCAGTTGATGCTTGCACCTCTATTTTACATAAGTGGATTGGCCCCACCCGCTGCTTGACTCCCACCAACATAAATAGAATGTTCACCATTGAATTGACCATTTCCTTGACTAGTAGCAACATATTGTCCTCCACTGGAAGTTTGTGTACCATACGCGTTTAGTAGCAGCTTGTCCTCCATTAAATTGGCCACCTCCAGTCTGACCCGCTTGTTCACCCACTAATGGTATGTTTTTCCTCCCAATATTCTGTTAAAGGATGATATATAATAAGAGTCATGTACAATTAAAAACATAGAAAAAGTGTTAAAAAGACAAATATCTTAACTTACGTTGTCCATAGTAACCACCAGCTCCACCAATCTGTGCGCCTGAATAGAACTCACTGCTCATCATTTCTGTTTAAGGAATAATTATATAATTAGCAATATATATTACGTATTTATGACTATAGTACCAGCTAACATAATGAGTATATTACCTTCTTTCTCTTTCGTCAACATGTAGGCATATGGTTTCTGTATAAACAGGTTGTCGGGGTTAACATTTCTTGCGACGTCACACACAATATCGCCAGCCCACTGAGGTTGAACCCACCATGTACATGAGATTCTCGCCTGGAAAGTGATAGAAGAAATATTGATCACAATTTTTTCGTCATAAAAAATATACTATTCAAGAAAAAAGAGATCACGTTTAATCCTTTTAATGTATTTCTGTATATATTTTTACTTGCCTGTCAGAGTCTGGTACGGCCACATAATGTATATCTCGGATTCATCTATAGCGAAGGGACCTTCGTTTTTGATGTTGTACTTATGAATGACCTGGGGACCGAGTTTTTGGTATCATCTTTCAGGTCCCGAGATTCGTATAAGGATGCATTGTAGTGCAGCTCTGGAGGGTCGGACGTACTGGAAAATAAATGGTATTGTGATATTATTAACGAAATTCAAGAAGATTATTTTTAACAACATACTCCCCAACATTCAGTTACTTTGCAGCAAATTGTGACCACGGGGAGATAAGATGTGTAAAAAAACTGATATTAATAAAAAAAGTTGGGACTTGTTATCATAAATCATTGCTATTATCTATAACTATATATTCTATGAAGCTATAACTAGAATATTAATATAAAATGTATAACACTCAATATATTTACCCAATGACCGATAATACGGCCTTAATGATGACGCCGATAGCCAAGTGTCTCGTGTTGTCATACTGAGTGCCGACCTCAGGGTTTGTGGAGTTGGATTCCATGTCGAAGTTCAAACCGGTCACTCGCGTGTCCACTTCTAGTACAACTCGGAAGTTCACCTGGTAAATTAAATAACTTTATGCATTATCAGTCTCCTATAAGAATATCACATTTTATCATTTAATGTAAACATCGGGTTTTCGAAAATTTATATACTTGAAAGGATGCTTACACTTTGTCCGCTGGCCATAGGATTTCCGAGATCACATTTCAAGGTGCTATTTCCACTGGTTCCTTTGTTTTTAATGGAACAGTAAATTGGAGATGTCTCAGCGGTATCTTTGTCCAATCTCTCCATCTTGGCATAAGTTACTCCGGCGGGTATTTGGAGGTAGTAGGCTGTTTCGAAGGCGTCTTCACCACCATTCTCCACTTTGACGTCGATGTGAACGTTTTCACCCGATCCCAGAACGTAATTAACTGTAGGCCTGTTAAAATATATTTTAAAATACTTAACATCCAACTATATGTAATTTTCGAAATTCATATGATTGGCTAATATTTTCTACATGTAGTTAGTTGAAAAAAAGTGAATGTGTTACGAATATCTAAAATTTTTGAACTTTTCAATAGGGGCATATCACAAAATGGCTGCCAGAACCTATAGCGTGGCAGGAAAAAACCAGTTTAAATATGTAGTCTTCTTCTGACATTATTGAAATAGTATGTACTCACGTGGTCACAAACATTTTCAAATCGGGAAAACACAAACGTTATCAGGTCCGCAGTTCTTCTGTATATTGAGTGAGTCGGTGCGTTCCACACCGAGTGTGCGGTCCAGTACTGGCGGCACCGCCCCCGAAGCCCCCGCGGACCCTCCAGGCTGTACCAGCTCATACGTCATCTTCACCTCCAAGGGTGTCAGCTTGTCACGAATTTCTTCCTGATTGGAAAAATTATATGGTTATAATTTATTCATTATACAGGGAAGCAGTTACGAATGTCCAGTTTTTGGTTGGATTGAATGTGCAAAGATTATTCTGGCTTGATATTTGTAAAAATATTTTATGGTGATAAAGTTTAAAGTTTTTGTCAACTTACATCTAAGTAGACAGTTATTTCCTTGCACTCCTGTTGTCCCTGATTCAGTAATATGTGAGTCGTATATATTGTTTGTCTTGACTCCATTAGGAAGAGGCGCTTTGCTTGTCTTCTGGCGAGAGTCCAGATCCAAAGTTACTTCGAAATCTGTAATTAGTTAATAATAATTTAGTATTCAATGATTTTAATCAGAGGTATGAGTCCCATAATTTCTTACATAGTATTTTACATATGAAGTAAACAAATCATAATATATTACTATGTTGTAAGCTGTTGTTTGGCTTGAAGAGATTGAGTTTTAGGAACACCTACTAGATGGCGCCTATGTTCAGATATGACGGTTAAATGTATAAAATACTAATACAACGACAAAACGACAAAGGCATGATGTTTTAATAGGCAAGGCAACAGGAATGTAACCTTACAATAGTAGCTGGTTCAAGTATTCATTGCATATTTTCTTATTCAAGTATTTCGTTCAATTTTGCGTTAATCTTCTATATATATAAAAATGGATTGCTGTTCCTTAGTCTCGCTAAAAACTCGAGAACAGCTGAACCGATTTGTCTAATTTTAGTCTTGAAAATACTCCTGGAAGTCCAGGGAAGGTTTAAAAGGTGAGAAAAAAATTGTAATAATTGCCGGGAAATCCCTAAAAATAGCCCTTTTCCTATTTCCCATACAAAAGTTTTTTTTGACATTAGATTTGACTAAACTAACTAATATCTCAATCATTTTGTTTTGATTGAAACAGAAAAAAAACCTGATATTATTTATGGCCTCTAAGACGGAATAGAGTTCGCCCTGGTCAGCTATACCTACATATATTACTCTTGACCCCAAACTAACGCGGACGAAGTCGCGGGCAAAAACTAGTAAACAATAAATCAAAACATTTCTAAGTTCATGCGTTGTCCTAACAAAATTAATTGTGATTTCATGAACACAACATTTAAATACTATAAGTGGGATGGTTATATACAGGTGGAAATTTTCCTATTTCATACACTACTATTTTTTTGTATAAATGAACTACTTAATTTAACACTTATTTCCACTAATCCGTCGCTACTTCGACCACTCACCGAAATAGCAAATATATCCCTCCGCTTTGAAAAAAAAAGATTAGAATGTACCTCTAAGCATTGACAAAAAAAAAACAAATAGTGAACCGAATTGAAAAATAATTTGTATTTCATAAATTTCAAGTAATCAGGAACAAGATTTTGAAAAAACAAAAACCAGAGATTTTTTGTACATAAACCAATTTTTTAAAAATAAAATTGAATTATATCATTCATTCCTGGTTAAGCTACCAATGTATATGAGAAAAAGTTTTCGTTAAAATGTCTTTTCTTGTTAAATCTATTTTGAATCCTATTTGAAAATATATAGGAATCCTTATACAATGATTACTTACTTATTTGTTGGTCCACGTTAACCCCATCGTATGTGAGACAGAACATAAGTCTTGCGCAGGCGACGTTTGTTCCGTTAGAGAGGACGCAGCGGCGGTCGTCCAACGAGATCAGTTTACTCTCGCCCATGAACCGCACCTCCGCCATCACTTTTAACCACTGGACGGGATCTGCGGAGATGAAAATATTATAGAACTCCCAAAAAATGCCTAGAGAGTGACGATTTACAGTAAAATTATAGAAATCAACAGGTAGAATATGAAAGCTGATAGTACATTTGGCTAGATAGAAAATACTCAATAAGTAATATGTAATAAAACTTCTAATCTATAATGAACTTATCACATCTTATAAAAATTAATAAATTTTCAATTATACGATCTGATAATACACTTACTTCAAAAACACCACACTGTCTGATTTATAAGCACCAACAGCCAGATCAGTATAGTTATTGTTGTCCAAGTCAACTCCTCCAGAGAGTGAAAAGCCAAAGGTAGTAAGGACGGGGCTGATCTCTTCAGCAGTAATAGCTTGAGAATATTTCTCGGCCGATGCCGAGCTCACTACCATGATAGATGTAGACCACACCTCTTCCATTCTCACCACCATACGGAGCACCGACAGCGATATCTGAATATTAAAATATGTTTTGAAATTACAATTGCTTTTAAACATTGCTCTATTCAGATTGGCTTAACTGGAAGCATAATGAACCAAATTCTTCTCATACCTCCAAAACCATCATAATTGATGTCTCCAAGTGACGTGACGGCCAATCCGAATCTTCCCTTAGAAAACCTCTCCAGTTCTGGCGTGGTTCTTTTTGGAAAGGACTGAAATAAAATATTTTAGTTTTTAATTAAAATTATAATGTGAATTGATCATAAATATTTATGTGATAAAAATGGTTCTTACTCTATCGCTTCCTTGATAAATGACGTAGATTTCTTCCATGCTCATATCCGTCACTCTTGGTCTTGGTGAACATTGGTGCTCCAACGATGATGTCGTCAGCGCCATCGCCGTCGATGTCACCGCTAGCCATACTGTAGCCGAAGTAGGCTCCAATTTGGGAACCGCTGATGTTTTTTAATGATTTGTAACTCCCACGTGTAGAGGACCACCTAGAAGACAGCGAAACAATCGTAAATATTAGATATTATAATTTTATTTTTTTGCTTTGAAATATCTTTGAATCCATTGCAAGTTTCAAGGATTTTTTTAAAGTTGAGAAGTGTAAGGAAGAAGGATTATTAAATTTGTAATAGCTCAGAAATTTATTAATACTATTTAATGTTTCACTCACCAATCCTCTTAACTCTGATCCTCTGGGAACACCTACAGCAACACCCTGTATTCCTTGACCAGCAAAGTCTCCAACGGTCACTGAATATCCCATGTACGAGTCGTCATGTTTAGGGCTGTCTTCGGGAGTTGAAATTAAGACCGGCTTTCGAATTCAAGGTTTGAACTTTGAGTTGACCTAAAATAATCATTAGTTGTAGAAGCGTTTATAGCTAAAATTAATTAACAAGCAATGGAGGAAGTCCAGGAAAAGATTAGATGTCATTATTTCGATAAAAATGCACGAACAACATGAACATCAAACATTTCTCTGACATAACTGGAGAAAATAATGACTGACGATGAAGATAATTGATACAAATCATTGTGTCTACTAGCAATTTCAATGGAAGGATAAAAAATAATATTAACAACACAGTCAAACATAAAAAAACTCAAATACTAAAAATTGAATGAGCACACTATTGTTAGCAGACACATTATAATTTATCGCAAGTTTTTATGAACGCATGAATAGTTTTTCTTATCAGTCGCATTTTATAGTTAGATGTTTTTGTAAGAACCATTTAAAATAATGGTGTGCACAAATGTTATGACACACCAATTATTAAATGAATCTTACACAAGCATGATTATTCGATTTTTCTTATGGGGTAGCCCTTAACAACCGCTATAAAATATGAAACCTCTCCATATTTAGCCGAGGAGTTTTAAACGATGGAAAAACGATTTATATCGCACTTCGATTTCACCGATGTCTCGTGTTAAGTCAATACCACCAAATTTAGAAGCGACCACATTAATTATAAGCCCCAATGGGGTGAAAGTTATAAAAAACCTTTAAAAAAATTAGTTTTTTTTGCATAGAAAAGCGTTACAATCTCCGTCATTCGACATTTGTCGAATATCATCGTTATCTCTAATATATCTGAAAAAATAAGGTCCTATGGAAAAATACACATATGTATGGTATCCTCTATATACCTCAAATTTTTGCAAAAATAGTCTTGGAATATTTTTAGAAATAAAAACTGTATGGATATGACGGTAAAAAATATGAGCGTATAATGGAGACAGGCATTTCATGATCAATTTGATTTCTCGTGCAAAGATCAGACATTTTTTCTGGGATATGAGAGGTGTCAGTACAAAGACACTATATGACATGAAAAGCTTTGTACGATCATTGGACAATCCATATCCTACTGACAGCCAAAACGTCGTCTGTCAGACATATGACAATGTCCAATTGAAGTACTGTTTTAATTCTTATTTTCCTTAGAATACAAGGAAGTATTTACTTTTATTTACAATATATTTACACTAGATAAAAATTCCCTCAACAATTTTTTCTTTGCAAACAAAGAACTACCCAGGGTGGTTTGAGGATTAAAAGTTTTCTGGGACATATGTTTGGGGTTTAGATGTAATAAGAATTAAAAACACTTCCAGAGACTACGCCATATTATTCGGAGGATTCTGCTTTAAAGCATCTCTAGGTTATTTTGTTAAGAAGTACAAGGTCAGTCTGGGCGAAACGTTGTTTTTTTACCTTCCTTCGGCATAAAGTAGTTGAACCTTGCGCTAGTGTCTATGGAAAACGTTCGTCCTGTGGATGGTTATTTAATATTCATAAAAATACATATTAACTATGACTAAGACTAATATCAATAAATATTCCAACAGGTTTTGAAGCATTTTCTTCTCAATGCCCGAACAATTGGAGCGTTTATCTTCACATTTTACAGTGACAATACTTATTGTAACCTACCTTGCCAGTAAAAAACTGCCGGGAGCTCCTAAGAATAGTCTTTGGCCATCCTGAAAAAAAAATATAAAACCAACATTAGTTTCTTTATCAGAACAATGTAAAAAATATATTATTCTTAAAGTTTTTTTATACTTAATAGTATTTACGTCATAAAAAAACTGATTTTCGATGTAAGTATTCCAAATATTGAACGGGTTGTGGCAGAGGGCTATTAGGATAGCACTTATCTCGTAATGCAAGGGATGCAGACGTAAATTTTATTCAAGTCTTACGATAAAAGTGATGTGTTTATGTGTGAAGCACTTATGGTAGCGTCTAGCAACAGATACGGGGTAGGTCATGACCGTTCACGGATTATATAAAGACATAAGAGTAAAAAAAAAAAAAAAAAACTATTATAAGAATTCTTTTGCATATTCTACTTATAACGTGAGAAGATTTTGGAGATGAGTTAAAATAACAGAAATACGATATGAGGTGCACAAAAAACAGACTGATGTATTTGAAAATTGGAGCTGGTTTTCGTTAAGAAAAAACTAAAAAAACAATCACAATTTTTATCCTTTAAAAAACAGTAATATAAAAATAAATATTTTTCGTTTAAAATTAGAATTTACAAATTCTATACTAAATATATTATGGTTTTAAAAATTCACTCACATACGACATGAAATAAAAAAAAATAAGTAATTTAACAAAATAATATATATCTGGATATCACATTAACAAATTTCAAAAAATTTCAAGTTAATTCGCTTCAGAGGTGTTCTTTGAGCCATAAACAAATTGGACAAAAACACAGACGTTTGAATCCGTGTGAACACATGAGATAAGAACCAGTAGGTTTCACTATGCGTTTAGAAGATGACGGCTAATTTGGCCTTATGTTGTGATACAACTATTTTATTTTACATATATTTTCAATAATATTTTATCTAATTCGTAATTCTACTCGTAAAATGTCTCTATTTGTGTTGAGAGAATACACAACCCTACTCAGTAAACTGAAGATATCTGTTAACATGTGTACAATTTTTTGTAACCTGCTCGTTGACATGGGTACACAGATAGACCCTATATTTTGAAATTTATGAAACCCTAAAATTATCAGTATTGATAAGTAGATAAAAATGATAGATATATTTAATACTTTTCATACAAAAAAACGGAAAGTTTCTTAATAAATCTTTCAGTATAACATAATCGAGGGTAGCATTGCGCGGGGCGCCGGCCGGCTGACAAATAAATATGCGCGTACGCAGCGGCCGACTCGCGCCATATAAAGAACGACAAGAAGCATGCGGCCGCACGGCTTAGTCCGCTTGTCACTTGGAGACAGAATTTCAAATCCAAGTTTTATGGACCTACATCAGCAGGCACAAGTTTTTATTTGGTCATATGTTGCTTTATCGATTTTAAAAGTGTTGTAACTTATCTGTCGCATGTGACCTTTACTGTTTTTACCATGTGATATTAAAATACCAAAACTCAAATACTTCCACTTAATATAATATTAAGTGGAAGTATTTGAGTTTTGGTATTGTAAGTTTAAAAAAGAGATTACAGGTTAAACTGGACAATAGTTAAAATAGTAAAGTGTTCTAATGTTTAAATATATATTTCTGATTTAATAATATATTTCTTATTTAATAATATATTTTAATATATATAATTTCTGATTTAAAGCTGAAATGCGATATAAAACAATACTCGGTAAACGATAAGCTGAACGTTACCGAGAACACTTGAAATATTCAATTAAACACCAGTAACTATTTGTAGCCGTTTTTTAAAATCCCATAATCCTGGAAAGCTCCTCCATAGTTAAAACAGCACTTACTTTAAGCGAATGAATATTTAATGTAGTAATAGAAATATGTCATTATGGAAGTAGGTTCAAAGTTTCGCCATTACTGATTCAAATAATATATAAGATTTCTATTAACATGACTGAGTATATGTATGTGAATTATGAGGTTAAAATTATTGAAATTAAATTTTAAATAATTAATAGATATAAAAATGGTCTAAGTTTTTACTTTTAATTCTGCTTATTTCAATGTTTTCTTCATTTCAAATTGTCATTCGTTTAATGTTAAATTTAAAAGATAAATCGTTCCGTTAACCTATATAAATTTATTTTAAGGTAATCACAATAAAATAAAAACGATTATTCGGACAAATCCTTAATGCGTGTTCCAATATGGCCATCTCTTTTTCCCGCCAACGCCATTGTCTGCAAATACGACGTTTACGGCTACGTTCCCGAAACCATGTTTGTAAATTCAAAAAAGAATGTTTGAGACGTTTCAATGATATAGAATTTTTGTTTTGCATAGGGAAAAGGCGATGGAAAAAAAAAAATAAAAACAATGACGCTCCACCCTACCTATGTAAATGAACATATGAGCTTATAAAAGATGTAGGAATAATATACGCGGATGATGTACCAAAAAAACTATTCTATAGAAATAAAAAATAAAAGTTTTAATTGAAATTATTTTTTGCTATAAAATAACGTAGTGCCATTAAGTTATTATAAGAAAACACGTTAATCGTCACTTTACAAGAACAAGATTGGGAGGATTTATGTCAAGCCGGTAGATTAAGCTTTGTGATACTTGATATCTACTCGGTTTTACACACACATATCAGGTTTGCAACTAAGTTGTAAGCAAAATATATAATATATATTTACCATATATATATACCTTATATGAAAATTCTGATCTAAATAAGATTATCCTTGTTTGTATAACAAAAAGCAAACCCTTAAAACTGCTTTTAGGTTAATATTTTTATATCTAGCAACATTACAGTAAACATGGACGAGAAAGGCAAAACACGCACGAATATTTATCACCTTTTTTTTAAAGCTACAGTTTCTGGTTGTCACATTTGTCGCTGAATACAAAGATAATGGAAATTAATAGCAAGTTGTACGAATGAGAGGAATATTAACGAGCTTAAATACGTTACAAAGATTTCTCGGAAAATTTTAACAAAGATTGTTCTTGTCCACGTTTTCTCGTGTTTCCGATAGTTATTATTCATATCTAAAACGAGAAACGGATAAATTAATTCAAACGGAAAATATAGTTAATCTGTCATTGCCATTCATATACCAATAAACTAAAGCCCTACCAAATACAGGAGACCCATAAATCGGAGGAGAAAAACAATTCGAAATAGAGCCTCCCTATTTCAAGAATAGAAATCACAAGGAGTGTTTTTTAATATATTTTTTGCTTTGGCAACAATAAAAGTAGTTTTTCAATAATTCATAAGTTCGTTGCGCGAGCGCAGGCCGGTCACGTGGGCGGCCGATGTGATCGCTATGATAATTCAACACAGTAAATATAAATACTATTCCCACGATCGTAAAATCACGATGTCTTACACGAAACTGTCCGTTTTTTTGCGAAACGTTTCACCAAAATATACTAATTGTTATATGTATTCGAATCACGTTTACAGCAATTCGCCGTTGGATGTGAAGGGGACGTTTAATAATTTACTCTCAATTTATGAGATGTATAAGCTTTTAGATTGATAAGGACAATGAATATACAGCTATAGTAATAAAATTTATAGTATAATTAAAAAAAACATTTTAGATTTATTGCTTGTAGTTAATTTTAGAGTTTTTAAGTCTATCCGACCTAAGATCTATCTCACCTTCATCGATATTGCCTTCGGCGTCTTTCAGTCTCACATTGTGTATACTTTTAAGCGATCAAGATTACGTACATACAAGAGATCGGTTTTACGCTACATTTAACCATCCTAGATATTAAATTTCATTTAAATACTATAATATACGTTCTAACATAACGAATATATGCAGACATTTCTTTTTAAAAATTACAATAATTACTCTCGTATGCTGGTTGGTGTACATATGATTCACTCACCTTGGAGACAGCTGCTGAAAAAACCGGCCTGACACATGCCAGTCTTTCCTCTGGTCGTGGCTCGCTGGAAATGGTTTAAATTATATTAATAACAGTACATTATGTCAGATCACTCATCACTGGCATTAAGGCCGCTTATAGACGGACGATTTTAAATGATAATAATTAATTCAATAGTTTTATTTTTCCATGCTATTAAAAAGTTATGTATACATAATTACTTATTGTTTTATGTGTATTTATATTAAATAAATTATATTATATATAATATTATGTCTGTTATATACATAAGAATATAATTGTTAGGTGTTGTGGAGTGTACATGTGTTGTTAGTTTTAGCCAGTTTTACGAAACATTTACCTAAAATACATATAATACAGACAGTTACATAGCACGGGAATGCAAATATATACATGCAAATCTAATTTCATATTGTGTTAAATTTAAATGTAATCTATTTAAATTTAGTCATACATATATTAGGTAGAGTGTATTACAAAAGGTTATTATATAATTATATGTCTTAAAAAATTTTATTAATATATACATTTCTTTTGGTTTTTTTCTTTGTTTTATTTATAGATATTATATATGCAATGGGGTATATACTCTTTTAAATAAAATTTTAACGATAACATATTTACTCGTATTAATTTATAAAAAAAATGTATTAAATCTTTTTAATTATTCAGTCTGCAAACTGTATTAATACTTTCACAAGGAGTTGCCAATTTAAATATCCAGTAATTTTCAAGTTTTAGTTAAAAACGATTTTTAAACTGACACTTAAATTTATATTCTCTAAATTTGATATTTCTAAAAGTGATGTTGTTATAAACTATAAACGTGTTCATAATATGATAAGAAGTTTGGTTCACATAATAAGGGCGAATGAATATTATATTTCCACCGTTACAAACCAATCTTCCCTACGAGTGCATAAACATCGATTCATTACTATTCTACTCCTCTACATACCTTCTTCCACCGTAGTGAACCCTAAACAGACACCACAATTTCAAAAAAACCACATTAATAATATATATATTAAAAACACATACATAACAAAATTTTGAGATTCTAACAAAAAACTCTTATAGTTATTTTAAACTCTGGAACAGCGTGACAAAAAAAACTAAGTTTTAGTAAGAGGAGACTGTAATCTGATATATGGGGGCCATCTAATTCCACCCGTCAAGCTGTGGCCTGCCTAATCATAAATCAAAGTCGCGCGCTGCGGGCGCTCGACACGCTTAATTTCTGCTTAAAACGTCCCGCCATTACCGGAAGGAAGTGACGGGACTATAGCTTTACTGATAATACTTATATTCAGAATAAGCTGTCATGTCATATAAAAATCGATTAAATGTTATCGATATTACATTTCATCGTCGATTAATCGATTAAAACGTTTCATAGGATACATTACTCGTCTTTATTGTATTATTTATATTATATGTAGATTAGAAATTGTTAAATTTTAACTTACAGTTTCGACCAGGGTGAGAAACTCATTGACTTCTATTGCGTCTGGGGTCTGTGCCACGAAGCAGGACCCCACGGGGTCTCTTTGGTTCAACTTTGCTGACACGAAGGGACACGTAACGAGGAGCGCAAGCCTGGAACAAAAAAAATACCAAACAAAAAAACATAAATTTAATACAACTAATTAGTCAATAAAACGTATTTTCAACAGTGTTTTGTTATAGAAGAGTAATTATGAAACATAGTTAAAAAGAAAAATATATACATTTACGAGTATATTAAAGAAATATAGTAAACAAATGCCAAAAGTATAGTCGTAACTTCTTTTCAATAATTATGTATTACATTTGGACACATCAGTTCAAAGTAAAGTCCAAGTAAACCGCTAACAATTGCAGTGGTCGATTTAATCAAAATTGTTGAGAGACTCGAGGGTCAATAAACTTAATGTTGATATTAAACCACAGTGTTGAATCATTTTATGTCAACGATTAGTAATGGAATTACGAACCCCATAACATCCTCAGACTGTTTCCTCAAGTCACTGTGACTATATTACTAGAAATACAGAAATAGTTCAAGGAATTTAACTATTTAAGCTCTAATAGAGGATATAGTCCAGGGCTCATTCTTTAGTTGTCACTAATAACATAGTCGTAATTAAATTGGAAGATTAAAAGAGAATAGGTATATTATGGGCGTGATAATTGATTTATTCATTGACAACTCTTTTATTTATTTATATTCAAAAAGTGATTATTTTGTATAATAAATAAAGTTTCACTGCAAAATTCAGACTTAGTTTTATTCATAGATTGAAAAAAAACTGAACTCGAAAGTATGCAGTAAATTTGTTAAACATTTGACGCGTTCTATTGGAAATCTTATCTTAAATAAAGTTTTACTTAACTTAAAGCAGTAAGTAAGATGTAAAGCATTATTACTTAAAACTTATATTATAAAGTAATGTCTATAAAGATGTTTAAGTAATATCAATCGCCAACCCTACGCACTCAGCAATTGTAACGAGACGGGGCACGCGTCGCGATCAACTTAACAACAAAACACGGTAATAACACGCTTTAATATACAACAGCGACATCTGGCGGAAAAACACACACGAAATATATATATTATTACAAATGTTATACAACAAAATGATTTATAAACTTCCTTTGAATTCTTCATTTACTAGGAATATCATATTTATAAACTAGATGATAATCTCCACTCATGATCTTCTATGGATTACCATCTACATATAATTATATTCAACAATATAAAAAACACATAGATAACTTCTAGGTTTCAATACCTGTATTTCGGTAGAGCTTTGTTATGGAAAATATACAAAATATATTTAATTTTGAATTTTTTCCCGTAGAAACGAGGAAGACTTTTTTTTCCATATCTACTAAGATTAAGTATATCCTGTAGTTTATAGGATGGAACACAAAATATTTTGTCGTTATTGGTGAGTGCGGCGGCGTTTCCTCTAATAATGGTATCCGAATCACCGGTCTGATCCCAAAGCAAACAGATTTTTATAGCCAGTTTACTGTTACGACATTGCACACAGATGTGCCAAGGGAAGTCAGGGAAATAGCATTCGGAGTTATTGTTGGTTTTTATGCTAACTTTTGGAAATGCAGGCACAATGTGGTAAATATGAAAATTAGAATTACATTTATATTGTCCTTTGTGACTTTAAAAATGCTGTTAAGTTTGGTTATTTAAGTTTATTCGAAAGAATTCATAGGTTTTATAACGAATTGAAGACACTCTACGGATTTTTTGTGGTTAAATATGAAGTTTTTATTTCACACTAATGTCCAGTGTGTATCAAACTTCTTATGACCAAAGAATCTGGTCCCTGTGCTCGAGATTGTGTTGGGAATTCGTGAGATGATTCACTCACTCCGTCATCTTCTGAGTCAGATGATAAACGTAGCATGTAATTTCTCACCACTTTTCATTAGCTAAGAATTTACATTTTATGATTATTGACTTTTGTACGAGAGCTTTCACTCTAAACTTGTTCAGTAGTTTTTGATATTCGTCTATATACATATATAAGTCTTTGGCATAATACTTACCGAGTCATACATATAAAGAAATTTAGTTTTTTGACATTATGAATTTTTTTGTTTATTATCATCTATGAATTGAGACCATCGTAAGTGGAGCTTCCAATATCTCCAGATATTATAAACAGAGGCGATTGCACAAGCTAAAAAGCAATTGACACCATGACCCACATATGTACGAGAATAGCTGAGTCTGTGCTCGATCTGGGCTAATGAGCATCGCGGTTAAATAGACAACCATCAAAGATTATTAACATTCCTTAATACTGCAAGAAAAAAAATGCTTTTTATATGTATGTATTAAGAAAACAAATAGCGCACTTAAATCAAAGGAAAGTGACAATACAATGGATTTTGTGTTAATATTGTTAGGTTTGTAGAAAAACAATAGCTATGGCCTATTTAACATTGCATTACATGTCTGTCATGTCAGCTGTAAATCATTGACAATAGCCGCGTTCACGCCTCGTGTTCAACCGTTTGATGTCTTGTTCTTTGTAATATCATTTCAGTTGTGTGACACGGTAATGTAATGCTTTCATTTAATATATACATATGAGAAAAACCAATATATATATATATATTTTGAGTATTAGTACATACATATAAAAATTTTCTATGTAACTGTAAAAGTACATCGTACTTAAACGTTACTAACTTACATGTTTTCTAGATAGCCTTATGTTGTCTTTCCTAGCGGTTCCATAATGTGACCTTACTAGGTATACGTCTTCCCCCCTATCACGCTATTGTTTACTTGTAAACGTAAATTTTCTGTAATCACATTCTTACATTAAAATTCCACTTCGAAATTTAACGTGAAGTCGCCGACGCACGCGCTACTAATCGATTTTTGGTGTTGCCATTCTCTATAATAGTTTTTAATGAGTTATTTCAACGGTTTAGCTTTAAAACCATATCATAAACATATAAATCCAATATTAGGGATCGCAATACCAAAAAACATACAGGATTATACTAAATTAAATATTTTCTTCCATTTTAACTTGTTTACAAAAACACTATTAACTTGTCCTGACTTGTTCTATTAATTTCTTTTAATTAATTAACGGCCCGGATTAAGATATCTATTTCTTCTCACCTTTATGAGGGCAAGTCCCATAACCGTATGATAAGTCTGACTACATCCGCGGTACTCATCCCAGTTCCCGATCCTCTCATTACCAGTCAACTATCCCGCTACTCAGTCTGAATACTGTTAATTTTCGAGAATCCCAAGTCACGCTATTTAGGGATAGGAAAAAAACTAGCAAAGCCGCTCAGTAATCACTCGCTGTATAAGGCTACTGTGATCCCAATAGACACAGAAGGCTCTACGTTGCGAGGACGAAGGTGTGTCACACAGAACATTATACTTATTTGAATGATTGCGTTATAAAAATCTCAACTAATAATACATTTCATATCAAGATAAGATTTATATTTTGCAATAAAAGTTTCATCTCGTAACACAAAGAAAAAGTAAGTAGTCTTATGACATTTAATAAAAATATTCAGATTTTAATAACGAGTTGGTAAATTTAAAAGTTCGCGATAATAATTAATCAAATTTCACACAAGCACGGGGAACGCTAAAAGAAATAAATCGCTGGACCGAAATGAGACAAAATTAATTTAATGTAAAAGTCTTGTTAAGTAATCACCGAAATTGTCTTCTTTCTCGGAAAATAAAATGTCAAGCTCGTGCCTTCAGAGATATTAACAGTCATAACGCGAAATTGGAACAAACGCTAAACAGAATTTATTACCATAATTCGTTGTTAAACATCTTCATATACAGGGGTGACTGGTGAATTACTATCGATATTTGAGGATGTGATATTTGACGATCATATATGACAAAATAAAAATTAATATAACATAAATATTAATAAACTTCTAAGTAAAGTTAACCAAAAGTTGTGTAATTAATTACGCATCGTATGAACACCCTACAGATTAGGTATACACACACACTCACACACACGCGGCGGGGGCGTGGTTTTGTATCAGCACGCCGCCGCACGCGTCCACACTTGGAACACTTGGAACGTGTCAACACTTTATTTATTTATACGGAAATTTGGTCAAAAAATTAAGTACCTATTTTTTTTACATAATTCGAATGAGAGAATCATGTACCGAGTATGCTCCTTAAATATTGACAGTAATTCACCAGTCACCCTGTATATGTATAAAAAAAATATATTTAAAGATAAAGTATTAAAATGGTTAAGAACTTCTAATTAATTGACCTATTAATCGTGTTAACACTAACTACCAGGGAATGATTTTACCTAACTGTTCTAAATGAGACGAAAAAAGTGAAAAAAACGTTCCAGAAGTAAAGAGTATATGTGACTTTCTACAAATCGAAAGCCCAAATGCTGTATTAGTTAATATGTATAATATACCACTGAATAGGTTCAAATAAAACATCTTCTGATTCACCTTATACCTACGCCATCAACCGTTCGCTCCAGTGATGACCACTTTTTTTCTCATCACCGCTTACTTCTAATTGTAGACCGTTATCAATGAGGGTAGCTCCATAAAAAGAGAACTTTCCCATGGCTAGTTTTTAGTTCTGAACCATAGTACCAACTGTGTTAGGAGGTACCGTTCCTAACAGTTATGATAGACAACACTAAATATGGCGCGGACTGAGAGTAAGTGGGGCGTGGACTGCACGAGAAGCGTTCCATATATTGTTTCACATTTAATATTATTGTATCTAAGTATAGGACAATATGATTGTAATTATTCAGCTCATTTGAACTCATAAAATATGTTTATTACTTTCTTATAAACATTAATGTTCGTCTCGAGACATAAATCCCACAAGCGAATATCAGGCGCCGCGACAGAGTAAATCATCAAGAGGTATATAAAGCATATCGTTATCTTACGGAGAGGGAAATTAGCTGGCCAGAGGTCAGACTATCAGATGTAGCGGAATGTGCTCGCATATCATCTCCACGTTACCTCCAAGACTCACATATACAGGCTGATGCATTCATTGGTCGTTGAGCTTTTTATATGAATCGATCTCATATATTACAGCTGACCGGTCGGTAATTGACTGTTATTGATTTCTGACACGTACTGTCGACCATTAATGTCATAATAATCTTCTTCATAACTTCCTCTCGCTATCTTAATGAATTGCTGTTTTATATGTAACTATAAATGTTTAAAAACTCCAGTTACTTTAATACATGATCAATAGTTTATTAATGGTATGCTGGGCTCCACCTTTCTTTGTTACTTATCGCTATCTAGACGGAGGGGCGAGGCACAAGCGCGTGCGCACAATAACCCTTTGTTAGGTTTGAAGTTGCTATTCTAATAATTTTTTTTTATACTTTCCATTTATATACAGTTAAAACTAAAGTAAATTATATAGTGCATCATCTCTATTAGGAGGTACTTATTCAGCTGTATAATCGCTTAATTTTATTCAACAACACCGGAACCACATAAACAAGCGAACAGGAGCACACAATTTGTCAGCAGCGCCTTATCCGACCGTTGAAGGGACAATCTATTTTATCTCACAATATACTGCATTCAGAAGTCCGAGTGCAACTGGCGATGTGGTGTTTGCGCCAAATCTAGAAAGTATATATGATGTGGTCCGTAGACAAATAATGACTAGACTTTGAACATTTCATATGAAGTTTTATTGTTTTTGTATTAAATTAAACTTTAAAGGGAATTTATGTTATTTATTACGTCGGAATTATTATCATGACTTTATGAGCAATTAGTTTCATATTTAACAGAACAATATACAAAAATACTAAAAAAGTGAAAGTATATCGGCAAAAAGTATGTGTAGATTATATAAAACTTTAAAAATATGACTCGGTTTTCTTTGTTGTATACATTAAATTATAATGAACCTCCTTTTAATAGAAAGGAAATTGTTCATTTTATAATATAAAATAGATTTTATTGATTGTTTTTTGTGAAGCCTGTCTATCTTCTCCGAGCTCAGCGCAGACGCGTCTTCGCGTAATGACATTTATTGATCACACCACACAATAGACGCTTATTATGAAACCATATTATGAATTATGAACTGATAAATTAGCTCCGCTATAAATACAACTTTATTGAACTGAAGTCGAGTACTTATTTATACAAAATTACACGAACGTAATCATTACAATGTAGTTATGTCCTTATCAATTGGTTCTTAGTTGACAAAAAAACCGTTCCATTAACTCAGCCGTAACTAATACTCAAAAGGGCTATAATTAAAATAATAGAATAAACAGAATTGTAACTAATGAAGGAGGCTGAACGCCGCGGTCTAATAGATTATTTTTTTTTCGGCTCGCGTGTCCAATTCGATGTTATTCTTTGTAAATGAAAGAATGAGTATTAAATAGCGTGTATTAATGAACTTTTTATACTTAAATTGTGTACGTCGGTTTTAAAATATATATTGAATTTAGGTTCCGTTCAAAAATTAAATTGATTTCATTATAAACAAACATTCTCCAAATATATTCTCCTATCTGGGCGAACATAATCTTTAAAATATGCCGAAAAATCGAGAAACGCGAAAATATCCGAGAAATCCAACCCGAAAGCAGACAATAAGAGAAAACGTGCCATAAAAGGCTCCGTCCAAATCGGACGTGCGTAGCTGTCAACAGCTCGAGACCATATTAGGTGCGCCGAAGAAGCAAGAAAGTAAAGAATTCATCTGACAAATCACCGGGACAATTTGTTTGTTTAAGTATCCAATCCCCGAGATACCGCCGCGAATTATTTCACACCGAAATTAAAAAAAGATTAAAAACGATCCGTTGTGAAATTAAAAAGCGATTTGTTGGAATCCAGATAAGTTTAAACGAAATGGAGGATATTAATGCGATGGTACGTTAAGTCAAAGGAATTTAAGAAAAAAAAAAACATATTTTTTGTTACACCACGTTGTAATGATGGTTATTGTTTATATATAAGTACATAGATATAATTATATTAAAGTTGTAGAATGTACATATATACTAAAACAATAGTCCGAGTTGATTGAAATGCATCAAACAATAAGGACACTCGCCACATGTTGGATATCGCAACCATCTCCTAGAGCCATATACAGAGCAATTGTAAATACACAACACGTTACATACCAAACAAAATTACTCACTTTTTATATATATGATACACGAGCCTTGAAGGAAAAAGAATATACTAATAAGGAATCAACAAATATAAATACCATATTTTTGAAAAACGTTAAATTTTTATTGACATGCGCATGCGCAGCCGGGCTCAAACTGTTAGGTGCGATATCTTGCGATTTATCGCAGGAAATTTATTTGCAATTGTAATAACGTACCCTACACGATCGGATACGAATAGAAAATAACTCTTTTCAAGTAAAACACTGTGATAAAAGAATTACACCATTTAAGGCAAACTTCCTTTGCATCTTCCTTTTTAAAACAACATATTACATTATTCAGAAGACGATGTTGTTGTAGTATACAACATGAATTAATTTTTTTTATCAATACTTAAACTGATACTCGACTTACGTTTTAAATAAATATATTAAAGTAAAATTTTATACATCTAAAAAATATTAGATTATTTTTTGGCATTTGGCTTAAAATAGAGGGTGTTCAAACCCTGTTCCTATTTATACGCAAACGTAAATTTTTCATGATGATACCGACCATTAATAATGTCAACCATTAATTTTCTTACGAAAGGCTTTGATATTTAGAAGTGGGTCAATGGTGTCCATCGTTATGGGGTTGGCACACCATTAGGTCACAAGGTTTACTATTTGTGTACCGATTTGTTATCTAGGGCAGAAGAATAGGTTTGGGAGGTTACACTAAAGATAATACAAGTTTATTAATATTGAAATATAAACAATAGGGGTGGTATTATACCATAGAGTTTTATCACAAACAATACAAGATGGCGTCGATTGCTCTTGTGATTATTCATACGAATAACATCAGGGCTCACTTTTTGTATCTCCATTCCAGGATCAGAAGTTCGCCGAAGCGCACCCGGCAATGGTTTTTGTGTCGAGTTGAAGAGGAGATGGAATTTTTATTTAGGTATGCCGAATTAGTGCAAAAAAACGGCCCTCTCTGGTGCGTAATTTGTTTAGCTGTTTTATTCTTTTACAAGCGAGCCGTGTTCTGAATTCGTCAAAGACTCTTTAATATATATGGTATGATCCATTTAGTTCGACGTGATTTTAACTGAAATTTTCCTGCAAAATGCTAAACATCATCTTTCTTAAATAACTGAATGTATTTCCATCATATATATATATATATTTTAATTTAATCTCTATCTGTGACATGTCATTAATGTACGCATTAATTTGATATTTGGATGCTGCTACTTTTTCATATTATTCACATGCTGAACTAAATATAGAATAAAGTACGCCTTTTGCTTTATTTAGAAATTTTTTTTTTTTTTCCAATAATATTAATTCCAAGCCACCTGTATATATGGCGAGACGGACAATAAAGTTTTAAAAATAGTATATTGATTTATAATTGCTACGACGATAAGTCGCGGCTCGATGTTTTGCTTCTTTATTTATACAGTTTATAACAAATTACTCGGATCCACTCTAAGAAACTCACTTTATCATTGTTTTATTTTTATTGGACGCTCGTGTATTGTTTTTTGCTTAAATAAAATTCCCACGCCGCGTGTAATTTTCTTTGGTTGTCTTAGAGTGCTGCCGTTTTAGGTAAAGCTGCTATAAGTATTCGATTAAACAATTTCATATGATTGTTCTCAATTACAGCGTTTTAGTCGAGAATCATCGAAATTCTGGGACAAAAAGATTCAATTGGAGAAAAGATAGGAGTGAAATTCTCTTAAAAAATATCTACTAAAATAATTTTTGTGGCGTAAATATACGATCGATAGATGTTTCTATATGCTGTGATAAATTATGTTTTTGACGAGTGACGAGTGAAGCTTTTACCATTGTTTTAAGTTGTCTGATATTTCTCAAATCAGTTCGCTGGGTGTAACAGGAAGGGTGCAGCTAACCCATAAACTTTATAGGTCACAATCCCACTTTATGGGGTCACAGACTATGCTCACACCATAAACATGGAGATAGTGAGACATGTTTTTATGTCGGTGTCATTATCGGATACTTAATAATGTATTGAAATTTTGGATTTAACGACTTCGAGATTAATTCAGTTTTATATACTGAAGACGATTCAATGTTATGCAATACTTAAAAACGTTAAATCTATAGAGTTGTGATGTTCTCAGTTAAGTTTAATTCAATACAATTCTGAATTGAAGTGCAAAGTAAGCGGAACTAAGCGCTTCTCATCGCCGTCTACGTATGAATGATGGCTCGTGAATTGACAAGAGACAGCATCTATACAGTCGAGACACTTTTTTATGATATTGGCGTTATCTGGATAGAATCATCGCGACAGAAAACAGAGACACACACACAAGAACGGAGATGTTGGCGTTTATAAAATACTGATATATCTTTTATAACTTACTTTTGTTACGAAAGTATTTCATGGTTTCTCAGATAATCAAAAATATTTTTAAAATAACTGCTTCGTCTGTTATAAGAAAGATATTTGACTAAGAATAAGTACTAAAAGAATGTTTGGTAAAAAAAAATCTGTTTGTTTTAACATACCACAATGGGTCCGTTTCGGCCCGTGCTGGTGAGAGTGGCCCCGAACCACTGGTTGGACTTCTGGGTCTATCTGACGACGAGCGGTGTCCATGTTGTTATCTGAAGACAAAAAAATATATAATTAAGTAAAAACAAGCATGTATAGAGAAGTAAAGACGACTATTACTTAGTTCGTTTTCCCTAAAACCTCCAGATAATGACTTGTTTTAAAACTATTTCCGAAAATATGAACATACATTCATACAAGTATATAGAAAAAAATATAATTTTTTTTGTTAGTTCAGTAACCTATAGGCATTTTACTTTGTGTTCACCATAAATATTAATCCATATAAATGTTAAATTATTTATAAACTCAACAATATTTGGTCTCGATCATCAAGTGGAAGAGAGTAATCTTTTTACTTAAGAAAAAATACCTCTCACTATAAAACTACACATCTGTCGTAAAACCGTAATGCATGCACCAAGACGCAACTCACACCGGAAACGGATAGTGACGTCATACATTTAATGACGTATCCCATTACTAGAATTACCATGATCATTAGAATCGAGCCATTATCGGTAAATATTGATTTAAGTTTAAATTTCATCAAATAACAAATGGTGTATTGGAACGACTTAATGTGTGATTTAAGAATTAAAATGAGCTCTTATTTTTATAGTTCAAATCTGTTTACTATATACGGTTCAGCTTCATAATACCGGTTTTTTATACAAATTAACCTTATAGTTAGTTCCGGTGTCACTGAAAAACGGCTTTTAATAATTTAGCATAGTCACAATAAAACGAAAAAACGTTGTCACTTGTACATAATCTACGTTGAAATTGTAATAGTAATTGTTGAAATGAAAAGCTGGAAACAGTAAATAGAAAAAAGATTTTTTTTTTTTTTTTTTTTATGTTAAAAGGTGGGCAAACGAGCAGACGGCCCACTTGATGGAAGGTGGTTACCGTCGCCCCATGGACATCCTCAACATCTTTGTTGCGGATGCGTTGCCAAACCTTGTATTTTTTTTTAGGGATAGAGAGGGGTGGGAATAAGGAAATACAAGGAAAGGTTGGGAAAAGGGAAAGGGCAACCGGCTCTCTCACTCATCGGACGAAACGCAGTCATTACTGACTACTTCACGCCGATCTTCTGTGAGAGGGTGGTACTTCCCCGGTCGAGCCAGCCCATGTTCGAGCTGTAGTAACTTAACCACAGCTAGGCTCTACCACCTATAAAAAATTATTTTGAGCAAATTAAAAAATATAATAGAATCATTGAATTATAAGTCTTTACTAAATATGAAACAGTGATGTCCATCTAATAGTAAAACTTTTGAATACAAATAATAAAATAGTTCGTATTAAAGGTCATAAGAACAGATCTTTATCAGTCAACATAATATATTCCGTTTACTCAGTCTTAAAATGATCTAATAGGTATAGAATGTGGTTCATTGTTACTATTAAAACTGGTCTAATGATTTATCTCCTTAATTTTAAATAATAATGAACCATTACATTGACTAATATAAAACTATGCTTCATATTATAATGAATTTTGCAAGAAATAACTTATTAGTATGTAAAAGAACTAGATATATCCTACAAACGCCTTTAGCGACAGACATGAGTCATGGGGAAAAAAACGTTAGTTCATTACCAGTTTACCACAAATATATGTATGGAATAAATGAAAATTTACTTTCTATATCGTCTCGCTTTATTTATTATTTAAAAAAAACTAATATAAATAAATCAATATACAAATTAGGCTTTTATTAAACATTACATATGAACAAATAAAAAACAAATCGTATCACTAAACGGTAGCTATTAAACAGTGACCGAAAAAAAAAAGAGGAATAAAATTTCGTTACCAATAAATCAGAGTCGTGTTATGTTTTGTAGATCGCAGAGGCAGCTCTTTAACTTGATTTTTATCGCGAACTTTAATGGGATGCCTTATACGTTGGCTTGGTAAATTATAGGTCACTTTTATTGTTCCTGCAGTTATCTTGGAAGAAATTAAATGTTCACTTTTGGTATTGCTTATACAGTATGTATATTTCTTTATATGATTCACCGATGAGTATTTGTGATGGTTATTTGGATAAAAAGTGTATTTTTTATATAATGGAGAAGATTAGAATATAAATATTAATATCGGAATAACTTTTCCGTTTGTATGACTGATTTATATATTTATAACAACACATGCACGATTATAACATATGAAAAAAAATATGTATATTTATTGTTTTGACGTTTTTTGAACCCCTGTATATATATAGCTTTCACTCCCATTGAGACATTACAGAATTACGTAGGTGATAATTATAAGTAAATCTAAGATCGATTTTCGTAACATCTGATAAAAGATAATTGATGGCGTTGTTACTGTATAAGGAAGGTGTACGTAGTTTTTGTAATATTTTATTCAATGGTCTCATCGCGTGTAAATTCCTCAGCCCCCTAAATGTTGTGAGGTACATCATGAAACATGTTAATGTCTAAACAGGGGTTGCTGTTCACCGCTTTCGTGTAGTCAGTAGCAATTTTATAACAATGATACAGACAGACTTATAGTTTTTTTATTATATTATGTCGTTTTATTTTTTGTGATATTTTGATTTTATGAATCTTCGTGATAATATAGTCGATGGCTTCACGTTGGTATCATGTTAACTTACTTTTTAAAGATGCGAAGCTTGCAGTTAACGATCGCTTAAAAAGACCCCGATTTAATTAAATTTGTGAATTTAAACTTCGTTTTATTTTTTTAATTACCAGCCGTAAGGATAGCAACAAGGAAAGAAGATACGAATCACAGAAGGTCTTTTTATCAGTTAGATTAATAATTAAATAAGAAATAATAATTATCTATGTAAATAAAAATCACACAGCCTTCAATGACGTCATCAGAATATTTTTAAAAAGTAAAATATGTTGGAACACAATTATATATATATGTATATACTTCAGTTAATTCATCGAATTGAATCATGGCACGATAATTTAATTCGTAAAGTAACTGGATCTCGTCTTTCGGAGGTAGCAGGTTCGACTAGTGTTTCATCTCGATCTATTTTTCAATGTAAATTCCCTATTTTAAATGTTAATGTTAAAAAAATTTGTTCTTTATATTTCTTCTAAAAGTGAGGATCGACAAAGAATGTGGTTTATTTATAACATTATTATGACATATTAAGATTTAGTCATGATATTTTCTTTCAATAAAGTTAAAATATGCTAGTATACTTATATTAGTAAATTGTAAATGAAACTAATTTTTTTTTATTATACTACGCGTACATCATTATTGTAAAAAAACTAACTAACATTATTAATAGTAAAAACTCGGAAATAGACAATAAATTCTTTCTTACACACGTACGATTTTTAAAATATTCAATTGTCACAAGTCCTCTTCATCTTAAGAGTTGCCCAAAAGACTTCTTCTTTCAACTCGCTGCAATATATCTTAGTGTGTCAATTACCAATTAGTGGAGAGTAACTTGGCTGCAAAAATTGTAACTCAGTACAGTTTTCAATATTATAACAACATAATATCGATTTAATAGGGCAACGAAAAGTTACTTCAGAAAAACATTGCGTTCACGCAAAGACATGTAAATCAAAAGTTTTTAAAGGCGGGCAAAAAATTGATAATCAAATTTGAGTTCTAAGTCAATCGATTTGAAACTATAATCATGTGATGCCAAATATAATTTAGGGTCCCACCCTTCATTCCATGGATAATTAAGTAAAAATCGAGTCTATTTTTTGGTTCAACTGATCTAAAAAAAATATGGTTCCGGCTCCCTTTAACAAATTACTTCCTTTACTATATTTATGAACATATATTTCTTCTATTCTATAAATGTAACAAAGTTAAAAAAAACATAATGAAAGATATTATTATATGTATTTTTTGATACTGTGGTCAGCGTTATCTTATACATATGAGCTGTATGCTAATTCTCCTCGCTACTAGAATAGCTCTTTGAAAAAGTTACGTTTTCAAATTAGGCATTTGAGTAATAAGTCAACGGCTTTACTGTTCCAATTCGTATTAACCACACGCGAACAATGTTTATGTTATGATACATTGTAAAAAATTAACGATACGAACACATTTCTACATTTGTATTCTTTGTATGATATCTTCAATAAGATATACTAAAGATTTTGTAATATGAAATAATCGTATACATTAATTTCGAAGAAGTTTTGAAACCGCCTCATCCATCGTTTTTATACGAATAAATTATTTATAAAAACAGTTTTATTTTAAGTACAGATTTTAAGAAAATCGATTATTTCGTGAATGAATTACTGTTTTCAGGACCTCATCAATCTGATCTCAATTGAGCTACTTCGCATTGAATGAATTGGCCCCAACTCGGGACCACTTGTTGCTAATTGATCCTGGTAAACCATCTAAATAATGTAGCACACAAATGTAATCTTTCCTCGAAACTCAATAAGGGTGATAATTAAATGAATGTTTACGACATGTTACGTATGTTGTTGTCTGTACGGTGTTATTGGCTGATTGATAGCTACAGGCCGTTGGTACCTTAGATACAATGTTTAATTTGGAACTATTCGAAGTATTTTTTTGTATGTCATTTATTTAAAAATACTGACATCAGTAATAGCACATAAACGAGATCATTAAAAGAAAATATTTAACCCACACAGAATATATTTGTATTAGTATAAAATGTATTACAAATAATTATTATTTCTTTCAAAAACCATGACGACGGTCAATAGAAAAACGCGCAGCTATTTGACGCCATCTCAATTGCACACCAAATATTAGCAGAAATGAAAGAACTTAAAAAAAAATACTCCAAGTGTGTTTTGAACATGAGAGTACTTTATAACAGGTTTACACAAATTTGGCTCGTACTGTTTGTATGGGATATACAATGAATGTTTATTTATTAGCACGTGACTTGTATAAAAAAAAACGTTAGATAAATAACATGAATATAGCGGATATGGTAACCTTTAATTATAACTGTTACAGCAAACAGTTTGCTTGTTAATTTAACGTGTAATTTATATACGGGATTTTGTATGAAAATTACAAAAAATTCTTAGCTTCTTGTTGTTTTATCACACGTCATTAGTTTAGAAAAGAATTTATTGGTTTCTTTAATTGGGATTAATCAAAAACAAATGTTGCATACTTTTGGTACAGGAGAGATGACGTCAGCTTTGCAAATTAGGGTTGGCTGGACAATGTGCACTTGTAATGTAACATGTGTGAAGAGATCGTTGAACCTGTGGTTACGTTTGAACACCAAATAAATGATGCATTCGAAAACAGCAGGAACATTGAGTCTACTCTAATATAGGCGATAGATATTACAGTAACTATGATTAACAAAACTTAGAATGTATAAGAATAAAAAAAATTGCTTTCCTCTCAAACATCCCCACTGTGAATGGATCTTCTTAGTACTTGTTACCAACTAATTTACTTTAAACTGCTCGTGACATGTCATTGAGTATTGTCCCGTCTTATAAGCTTGTTACTTTAATTTACAATAAAAGCAATGAACATAATTTATTAGCGATCGATTTAATTGAGTCCCTGTTCCGTACAGCGACAGTACAAGATGGCCATACAGCCGATATGGGCCACTGATTTATGTTTTATCAAGGCACGATGCGTTAATGTTTCTTGCTCTCATCTCGGCCTCAATGCGCTCCCGAACAACTCCGAGCGAGTACATTCGACACAAACACACAAGATAGATTGTATTTGTGCATCTTAAATTAACTTTCTTTCATACAGTCCGCATCAAAGGTTAATTACGGTTGCGGCGTTGGGCAACTGATTGGAGATTTATATTGTAAGTTTTAAATTAAAGTACCGAGTACTATTAACGTACGTGCCTTTTCAGTTATTTCACTTCTCACAATTGCCTGTTTAATATTGACGTTGTCATATTATTTCATACAAAATTAGAGATGTATACAAAAAGCGTCATGGGATTACAAAAAAATAGTTATTATTTTATTTCTTTCAGTTTGTTTTCCGTGTATACCTTTTAAATCATTCTAAATTAAATAATTATTCCAAAACCGGGACAGAGCTATTAATTACGTCAACAAAAACCAGTTTTTCCCAAATGTCTATATTCTAGTTTTGGCGAAACCTGTTTTCTAAAGACATTCTTAATAAAAGTAACATTTATTTAAATTTCGTAATTTGAACTTTATTATAGAATTTCGGTTGACTTTTGTTGAACTTCAAACTAAAATTCCCTTCAATTGAATTATATTGTCTCAGCCACTGATGTAAATATGGCGTTAGATGCTGTAGTTATGTCAAGGGCACTTCATGGCACCTTTCATTAATTGAATACGAGCTAGACCACAATTTGTTCCACTTGTGGTTAATAAATGACACCTGATTTATCTTGCACGAGTAAATTGCAATTGCATTCACACATACATCAACGCTTTGTTAAGAAAAAATATATATTGCAATTTGAATTATCGCGAGTGAGACGCAATTTGCCATAACTACGGAGATTATCTGATGCTGGTAATCATTACGAATGAAATTCCAAGATTTTAAATCGAAAAATCAACGTAATAGTAATCAGGCTACATAAATATTAATAGTTATACACTTATTATCTAAAAAAATACCCAAACAACAACAACATTCCTGTAGTATACACAGCGGAAGTATCACATTAGTAGTGGCCCACGCCTGTCTTTTGCACTTTGCAGTCAACAAGCAAGCAAACACGATTTAACACATGCTACATGACATTGAATGTATGAGCATCTAATGGGGTGAACAGCAAAGCAAATTTTACTATTAAAACTAAAATTTTTTTTTCATACGTAGGCAAAAAATCAATATTCTTGTGACGAAACTACATTAGGCCCACTTAAAGTTTTATGAATGGGTTTAAGCCGCCGCGAATTGTACTCGCCTACACACTCATAGCACCCACGTCTTGAATATCGATCCCACGTCGCTGATTTTATAATTACAGATCTAATTCACTTAACGTTAGCACTTACCAATTTAATTCAATACGCTATATTAATAAGAATAAACCAATAAGGGCTATAAACAGATGCAACGTTTAAATCATTCGTTACGGGAAGGTCGTAGCTCATCAGTACGAGCGTCGTCGAGAGATCGTTCGATAGCGGCTCACGACTGCAGCGTGATGTAATGCGTGTGAAAATACTTAGGAAATATTCAAGACAATTATTTCAATATAATTCTGAAAGAAAATCGACAGCTATTGATAAAAAAACAAAATTTTTTGCAGCATTGTAAAGAAAACGGCGCTTTAAATGGTTGGAAAGATTATATCGTACTCAGTATAATTATTTATACGACAATGATTCTACCAATTTGTAATAAAAGTAACAAGGAACGAAACATGTAACGATCGTGTACAATTAAAATTAAACATCCATTTGCTATACAAAAGTGCATTTCTCCGGGAAGCGGCCTATGGTACAGATAACTGCTTCATTGAAGATAACACCGCTGATACAAGATGAACATGCAAATAACTAGTGCTGGGACGAGTGTTTTATCGATGTTCCCCTCCCTTATATGTGCGACGTGTAAATGAACGCCCATAAATATACTTATAAGGTTTACATGTCTGTTGATGCAAGCAATGAATGTTTTATCAATTCACAATTGTAATTAAAAGTGAAATCAAACAAAGGAGACATTAATATTTAAGAGTACTACAAGTTCTAGAGATTTATCGATAAACAAGTTCGTATCACATAAAAATTAAGCACATCCCTAAAACACATATCTTATCATAGTCGGTGGTATTTCACAAGCTCCATTGTGGTAATCGACGCTGACTTCTGTAAGCAATCGCCGACTCTCCTTATCTTTCCGGGTCCCTTGAGTTAGTATGAAATCAACTCGTTTTATTACATTAGTAATAAAAACGATGTTTTCACCGCTTCAACATGTAATGATTTATTTATAACATCCTACGAGCATTACGTTAATGTATTCAGATACGTAGGAACATTCTTCTAATAAACAAGTATCAAATAAGAAACCAATTGCGTAATTAGTAGCGAATAGTCAGCCAGCTCACCCACGCGCTGCCCACACCGACCTGACCCAGTGATCCCCTGTTTAATTATACAAACGTGGTTATTCGATTAACAGGCCGCAGATTAAATGAATTTGTGAAAGCTATCGCGGCTAAGGAAGAGTCTTCCAGCGGGAGACACAACAAGTAATAACTTTGAACGCATCTTTTGATAAGTATAACAATCAGGTAACATGATATTGTATGTACGTTTTCTGATATCATTAGCAAAAAGTTAGGAAGAAACTATTCAAAATAATATACATATCTTTTGTAGATCGTTTTCGTAAGACATATACATTTCAGTAATACTTAAGCATGGAAAACGTTTCGGAATTTGTCCGAGTGCATTCCGCCAGGGAATCTTAACTGTCTCACTGATTCACGGTAATCGCTTGAGATTGGAAACAACGTTAACTTATATTGCTATTATTTATTTTTAAACTTCATTCAACACGTTCCGAATCTTCTGTTTTCGGATACAAACGTTTAATGAAAAATGTAGAGATATTTTGTATAAATTCGATTGTAAAATGCTCATTCTTTAGAAGCATTCGGACAACAAAATATTGCATACATTAGTCAACTTTATGTAAACCGCGATATTCTACGAGTAGTATGCTTTAACCTGGATTTATCTGTTAAACGTATTATGAACATTTCACGTCGCTTTATCCCTTGACATATTATATAGCATCCGTCCAGCAGAACAAAGCGGTGGCGCTGCGAATCTGGTATAAATCAAACGCGCGTGCGCTACCGCTGTCACGGAGTAGGGACAGAGCACGCCGGGAACACGGACACACGTTACCTCATATCTTTATAAAGTTTATTCCCTATCTCGGAACTATTTCATGGGATGTTTTAACCATTAGGTTATCTCTCGCAAACTTTGTTTAGAATTATGATAATTGCTGAATACTAACAGTAATTTTAATGAGACCTAGACTTTCGCAGATTCATTTAAATGAAACTAATATTTCGGATCATTACGAGATGCGAATCTCGCCTCTTCGTGATAACGGTTCCTGAAAAGTAACCGAAACGTCGAGAGTATGTAGTTTTTTTTTAAATAATAAAATACGCGTAGTAAACCGAATAGTACTAGTGTCATTAAAGTAATTTTATTTATTACTAAAACAAATTAAACACTTGAACTATAGAGTAGTAGTTAAATATAATTGCGAATAATCGTTTAAGTTTGATTAACGAGTGAGAACTTACATCTATTCTTGTCGAATTCTATCAAGGAGCACATCTGTAGATGGTTGTTTGTATTCTCGGAGGTGTAGCCGCGATGTGAAGGTTGGCAACGGTACACGGCTCCTGGACGTTGAACATTCTCCACACGATAGGGCTCGTCCTCTGGAGCACCCACAAGTATCCTACAAAGAAAAAACTGATTAACAAACAGGCAACTTCCATTCTCCATTTCAATTAACTCAACAACAAAAGTAAGGTTACAATTCATTAGTATTTGAACTGCATTCCAGTAGTATCGACTTTATATTGTAACTGTGCAGTTAACATTAAGTTAAATCACCAATAATATAACAATGAATTGCCGATAACCGATTTATATTCACACAATACGGTATAACTGTGTCAAGAATGAATTCTGTGCACGAATTCGTTGCGAAATGTATCTGCATTAATATGAACGAAAGCATTATGGATGCGGATGTACCGCTATCGTAATAATATTATATCTTCGGATTATTTCGGCACTCCGAAAGCGGCGGCCATAACCATCAATTCAATTATTGTGTTATAACTTACGTACAGTTCTTTCGTTTTAAATATTGAATATTATATTATTCTGATTGGTTTGAGTGCGGCTTTCGATAGATTTAGTTATCTTCATATACATATTTATTATTTACGTAAATTTTACAATCTCCAGGTCGATATTAATTTGATATATGACATATTATTTTCAGTTAGTAAAAGTTTTTTCGGTCTGCGACATTTTAATGTTCTAACATAAATTCTTAACGCGCCTTGAATAACTTATACGTTAATGTATTTAATCAAATAGTAAGGCTTATAAGTAGTGATGAAGAAGACGATGAATAAGGTCAAACAATGGCATAGATGGTGAAGCCTGGCTGCTTGCCAGCACACAAATAGATGGAGTTCAATCCCCGGCTGGGCAAACACTCGCCAAATTATATTTCTATATCTCTGACTCATTTTGACACTAAATTAATACAACTTTGATATCTGAGACATGGATACAAAAAGAATTAAATCGCTAATTGAATGTAACAAACAAATTGTAATCAATAGAATTATTGGTGAGAGATAGTTTTTTAACTGCAACATTCAAATAGTTTACAATCTGAGAAATTCGATTTTTTTTTAACTAAATTCTGTTTCCTATATATAATAGTTCGAACTGTATATATATTTATTTTAAAGGGCCCAGTAAAAAGGTTTCCTACGTGACATGTCTTCATATTGTTGGATGTGGCAAGCGACAACGATATTTCTGTCTCCGGAAGGGGGACTATTTTCAGAAACGTCTCACCTTTAATGTTGTCGCACTGGCGAAATATAACGAATGAGATGTTACTATTTAGTTGACTAATATTTAGGTGATTTTTATTTTTTCTCTGAAATATTATATTGTTTTTAAGAGGAATATTGTTTTTCTCTCAATCGAATTACATCATTTGACGTCATTTTTGAAGAATAATGAATAATGCTCAAGTATAATTTTACCAGTGAAGTAATGGAAATGATTACCCTGTGCCCAGTAATTATGATTTGTCAAGTGTACGTGACCAGTCTAATACGAAAGATTTTGAGTCACAAAATGACTCAGTCATGATGTCTCAGTGTTTGATGCCAAGACGCCACCTCGTTTGTATTTATATATTATATTTTTATTTTCAATATAACACTTACACAAATTCGTGTTATATTTACAACTTTAGAAACAACCTATTGTAGATATGGCAGAACCATTTGATTATTAATGAATCAAATAAAAAATAAAATCATTACTATTTTCTTCTTTTTATTTCCTTTTTTTCCTTTATTTTTTGTTTTTATAATAAAAGGAAAACCAGCTTCATTTATATGTAAATAAGAGTATCAATGAGATGTAGTAACATCTCGATTCGTGACTAATAAAGACATTTTCGTTCATCCGTGAAAGAGGCGTCTCGGAGCGGACAAACGTAGAGGTCAGGGAACCTCACTTATAAATTATCCACTATTAAATTATATAATATCATATCATTAAGATTTTGCAAATATTTCGAATATAATACCACAACACGTAAATAATAAAAAACAAGACTTAAACATAGGCTCTTTCAATTTTTGATTGAGGTAAAAGTGAAAAAATAAGGTAAAAACATAAAAAAATTACTAAACCTGCCGTGTTTTGAATATAAATAATTTAATAACTGTTTTTAATGAAATAATTAGGTGTAATAAATATTGTTTACAACAATATTCACCTGATGCATGTTACGACAGCGTTGTAAATTTCTTTGTACGAGGTAAACATCACTGATAAACTGTATCTCGATTGTAAACAGGTTCTGATAATTTTTATGTGAACAATTTTGTGTCACTCTTGTATAATCATCATGCCGACGAATTGCGTGCTTTCAAAGTAATCATTATTCAATTACAGTTTTTAGGAGACAATAATCGTTTGAGATAAAAAAAATCTTCTTTGACAATAATGAAATCATTATACGGGCTGTATTTTATTTTTTATTTCGTCATCGAAGCTAAAGGATTTGGTTTTCCTTTCCTGTTGAAATGCTCCTTAATTTATGAGCTGTAATTAATATGCACGTAATTTAACGTATTTCTCCAATCTAAGTACCGAACAACTTAAATAATATTATTACAAAATATATCTTTATAAAGCGGACCCAATTTCTATCAAACTGTGCCAGTTAATAACACTTGCGTCCATACAAACATATCCATTGTCTATTAATAAAGAAGAATTCACCGTCGCATATTTTAAACTTCATTCGGTATGCGATATCCTTTGTTCAACCGACAGGTGGTCGACAGACAGATGCCTTGTAACATTATATAAAGTGTGTATTATTGTCTTAGTACGCGTTGGATGGCTCACGAAAACTGACAAGGCCTTGGAATTGGTTGGATAGTTCTCAATGAATGAACACGATGATAAAAATTAAAGTTTTTGTTTCATATTTTGACTAAATTTATTTAAAATAACGCGGCAAAAATCTAGTGAAAGTTACTAACTTATGTAATACGTAGTTTCTTTAAATATATATTATAAAAAGCTTTAGATATCGAAAAACTCGATATGCAATGAATCCTTATAAAGTCGCTAAACTTTGCTTTTTCCCTCCGTCTGAGATTGCAGTGGATTTGATTACAGCGTTTATTTGGCTTCTGGCGAACGTTTAGAAAACTTGAAAAAGTCGCTTCCATACATTTTAAATACATACTGTAATATTAACCCTTTAAAAAAATTAAAAAACTGCTTTCATTAATGAAAATCCCCTTGAATTTTATGAATAAAATGTTAAAAGTAATAACAATCTTAAATCAGTGTACGGCTTTATCAAAGAGTTATCGAGCCACCCGCATAGGGTGCGTCTGATTGACTCAATGAGAAGATTGCGAGGGCCGAGTACAACCGTGAGAATAGCTTCTGGCACGCGAACATCGCCATACATTTGATTTTTCACTTGCAAAATTTGGGTCAGACGAAAAATAAAATATAAACATATGAATATTTTCATACAACACCCGCGTACATGAAACGGTGTCTACAATATTAGTTGGCGCGTGTGATCTTTTTTTCACCAACATTTCATAACATACCACGCCGAACAACATCACAATGGTCTTTCGCAAGTTCGTTTATATGTGGGCGTCTTATTTTTTGGGCGCGTTGCTATAATCAAATTCTTTACCATCTATTGTTAGTACATTTTCATTCATCGGAGAAACTTTCGCTGGAGAATCATCCAAATATTTACACATAATAACAAATCATTGATAATGACTGTATCAAATATAAAATAGAAAAACTTCTGAGCGTGTTCGCTAAAGTGTTAATCAATTTATCATTACGGAGTTAAAATTTGTATCAGACTCCGTGAAGTTATACAATGATCTTGAGCAATTTGATAATTACAAAGAACTTTATTGTTTACTTTATCAGTACTCATTTTAAGTTACTGTAATATTAAATATTTACTATTGAACCAAGCCATACTAGCCAGTAGCCCTATACGTACGAAACTATTAGTAATTATATTAAATTTAATTATGATTTAATTTAATACATACATAGTTATGCATAATATAAAGTATCGTTTAAATAAAGTAAATATTTATAATAATGATTTCGTTTTTCAATAATTCTATAAATCGATTTAAGTACAAGGTGTTAATAAACGGAGCACGTTGAAGGAGAGCGTGGGATCGTGGCCCAGTTGTGATGATGAAAGTGCCCTTCAACAACTCCTATATGTTAATACATGCATTGAAGTAGGTATATTACATAATATTTAATAATACTTGAATTTAATATTAAAACAATTTAAGACTACTCTCTGTCAATGTTCATACGTATGTACATATATATATTGATAGAAGCTGTAACATTTATGATGAAGTGTGGATGAATTCCGTCACCTATATAAATGTATCGGAAAAAAATAATGTCAATGGACAAAAAAACGTAAAGTAGCAAGAATATTATCAACCAATAATTAATATTCCGCTATTTATCAATGTTATATGAATTAAATATTAATTTAATACCAACAGGATATATAACAACCGCAAATTATTAAAATAAGCTTTGATTATAATTTATTACAATATGATAGTATACACACACACACTCACACATACATACACACACACACACACATACGTATAATATAGCAGTAAACAAAGCCTAATTCAATATTCCAACGTAGGGAAGGTGTAAGGATTAGTGCTAGCAATAAATAATGACTGAGATCATGTCGCTGGTCTTAACAGCTCGTTATCTTTATCGAGATCCAACAGATTGTGTTCTTAACTCTAATAATAATTAGTATCCCGTAGTCTATGGTACAAGTAAAAACAAACATGGCATTTATGGACTTTTTTATGAGACGTCAAACCAGCGGTATATATCTTTTGCCAAATTTTGTAAATATATTAAAAACTTCACATCTTATTTATGTCCTTTTTAAAAGACGCAAAACCTTCGAAATATATAAAAAAATAAATATTTTATCATGCCAAATCTTGTAAATATATCGAAAACTAAACTGATTTTATTTCTCGATAAGGATATTTTCGTTCCGTGATTTTTTGTTGTCCGATATATGTTTATAATCTCATAAAGTCATAACTCGTAGTAAAATCTCTTTATTGTAATAATAAAGCGCGTTCGTTTATTGGTGATGTCGACCACACGCA